TGATAGATGACATACGAGACTGTAATTATATTTAAGTTCAATTCTGTGTGTCAATATTCTCTATTTGGATGCTCAAAAAAGTTCTTGTGTATTAACTCATTAATTATTGGAAAAACAATATACATTTGTTAATAAGTCAAAGCATAAGTTAGTTGTGTTTTACCTTCACATGTGAAAATGTTAGGCTTAGTGTGTTATATATAATTTTACTGAACATCGGTGTCTACATCTTCCTGTACAGGAACTTTAAATTATGTTCATGTAATGATTCATTTAACTGGACGTTAGTCATTACTATCACTATATCTTGTTGATGGCATAATTAAGGTTACTAGAACATTCCTTGCATGTGTTGTCCTAACTTGATGTAACCAGAAGTTATGAATTTGCCATGTATGTGACAAGCACGTTACAGTCTCTTTATTTTGGCAAAGTCGTTGTTAAGGTTGGTACTACATTCCTGGCTCGTGATATCTAAGTCGAACGTAACTTGTATACTCATTTATGCGTGTCCACACTTTCCTTTGCCTACAACGTTCTATAGTTAATGTTACCAGAACTTTAACTTGGCCACGTATATGTGACGTTGCATTAGCACGTTACAGTCTGTTATTTTATTTTTGCAGTCATTGTTAAGGTTGCTACTACATTCCTAGCACATGATATTTAAGTAAAATGTAACGTTGTATAAACATCTGTGCGAGTCCAGACCTTCCTGTGTCTACATCGGTCCAAGACAAACGTTACCAGAACTTTAAACTGGCCAGGTATATGTTACGTTGCATAAGCACATTACAGTTTCACTATTTTTGCGAAGTCATTGTTAAGGTTGGTTCTACATTCCTGGCACGTAATATTTAAGTCAAATGTAACGTTCTTTAAACATCTGTGCGAGTCCACACCTTCGTGTACCTACAACGTTCCATAATTAACGTACCAGAACTTAAAACTGGCCACGTATATGTGACGTTGCATAAGCACATTACAGTCTCGTTATTTTTGCGAAGTTATCGTTTAGGTTGGTTCTACGTTCCTGGCACGTGATATTTAAGTCAAATGTAACGTTCTTTGAACATCTGTGCGAGTCCACAACTTCCTGTACCTACAACGTTCCATAATTAACGTATCAGAAATTTAGATTGGCCACGTATTTATGACGTAATGTAAGTACGTTACATTTTCGTTATTTTGGCGAAGTCATCGTCTAGGTTGGTTCCACGTTCCTGGCACGTGATATTTAAGTCAAATGTAACGTTCTTTAAACATCTGTGCGAGTCCACACCTTCCTGTACCTACAACGTTCCATATCAACGTTACCAGAAATTTAGATTGGCCACGTATATATGACGTAATGTGAGTACGTTACATTTTCGTTATTTTGGTGACGTAATTGTTAAGGTCGCTACTACGTTCCTGACACGTGATATTTAAGTCAAATGTAACGTTCTTTAAACATCTATGCGAGTCCACACCTTCCTGTACCTACAACGTTCCATATCAACGTTACCAGAAATTTAGATTGGCCACGTATATATGACGTAATGTAAGTACGTTACAGTTTCGTTTTTTTGGCGACGTAATTGTTAAGGTCGCTACTACGTTCCTGACACGTGATATTTAAGTCAAATGTAACGTTCTTTAAACATCTGTGCGAGTCCACACCTTCCTGTACCTACAACGTTCCATATCAACGTTACCAGAAATTTAGATTGGCCACGTATTTATGACGTAATGTAAGTACGTTACATTTTCGTTATTTTGGCGAAGTCATCGTTTAGGTTGGTTCTACGTTCCTGGCACGTGATATTTAAGTCAAATGTAACGTTCTTTAAACATCTATGCGAGTCCACACCTTCCTGTACCTACAACGTTCCATATCAACGTTACCAGAAATTTAGATTGGCCACGTATATATGACGTAATATAAGTACGTTACAGTTTCGTTATTTTGGCGACGTAATTGTTAAGGTCGCTACTACGTTCCTGACACGTGATATTTAAGTCAAATGTAACGTTCTTTAAACATCTGTGCGAGTCCACACCTTCCTGTACCTACAACGTTCCATATCAACGTTACCAGAAATTTAGATTGGCCACGTATTTATGACGTAATGTAAGTACGTTACATTTTCGTTATTTTGGCGAAGTCATCGTTTAGGTTGGTTCTACGTTCCTGGCACGTGATATTTAAGTCAAATGTAACGTTCTTTAAACATCTGTGCGAGTCCACACCTTCCTGTACCTACAACGTTCCATATCAACGTTACCAGAAATTTAGATTGGCCACGTATTTATGACGTAATGTAAGTACGTTACATTTTCGTTATTTTGGTGACGTAATTGTTAAGGTCGCTACTACGTTCCTGACACGTGATATTTAAGTCAAATGTAACGTTCTTTAAACATCTATGCGAGTCCACACCTTCCTGTACCTACAACGTTCCATATCAACGTTACCAGACATTTAGATTGGCCACGTATTTATGACGTAATGTAAGTACGTTACATTTTCGTTATTTTGGTGACGTAATTGTTAAGGTCGCTACTACGTTCCTGACACGTGATATTTAAGTCAAATGTAACGTTCTTTGAACATCTATGCGAGTCCACACCTTCCTGTACCTACAACGTTCCATATCAACGTTACCAGAAATTTAGATTGGCCACGTATATATGACGTAATATAAGTACGTTACAGTTTCGTTATTTTGGCGACGTAATTGTTAAGGTCGCTACTACGTTCCTGACACGTGATATTTAAGTCAAATGTAACGTTCTTTAAACATCTGTGCGAGTCCACACCTTCCTGTACCTACAACGTTCCATATTTAACGTTGCTACAACTTGAGACATATATTCTGACGACGTTATCACAACGTAAAATTGTTAGCTGGGAAGGCATTAACCACTGAAGAGTACAACAATATATATAGATATTTTAATCTAAAAAATAATTCGTCTAGGTATATGTGAGCAAAAACTATGCTACATTCAAACTGGAATGGTCAACGCATTGCACAACTCTATTTGTAAACATATGGATAATATTACCTTAAATATTTTGTTGTCTCTTTTGTTTGAGTATTTGAGTATATTACTATATATATTATAATATGACCTTAAAGCTTATTGAGTCGAAATAAAAAGTAATAAACTATGATTTATAAATATAATTTCTTCTATGAATATAAAAAACTTTCAAGGGTTTCAAAGGTGGTTAACACTCATCTTTACTACCATTCCAAGGTGACTTTATAAATTCTTCGAAACAAGTTAATATTCTTTTTGAATTTTACATCCTTGTTGCAATGGAGTCCTCTCATTGGCTTTAAGCAGTGAATAGATTAATAGGAGTGTACCATCTCAAAATATTTATTGCGTTCCAAAACATTTATTTTGAACGTACATTTCGAAGCGTGACATTACCACCTCATCATATATCATACGTGCATTTGCATTATGTTTTTTTTAATACTTGCATAATAACCGAAATTGCAAAGTAACATATCAGTTCAACCTCTACATCCTTTAGGTTGACTTATCAACATCTTTAAATTGATATGAAAAATACATTTCTTCGTCAACAATGTTTCTTAAATAGTTTAGTATTCAAACATTACGGACATATTATTCAATTTCTTTGAAAACCTAAAATCACGTATGGTATACTTGGTAACAAATGTATTTTTATTCATTTTCACAACATTTAACAATACTTAGGTTGTCTTCTCATGTAATTGGATCATTTTGATACCTGCAATTTCATCCAACAAGACCGATTGCAAAATTGTGCCTTAGTAACACATTATACTTTTTATTTAGGCCTACTGGCAACAAAACAAGATGGCTTATTTATAAAATATTATGGTTCAAAGGTTTAGAATATAATAAATTGGAATCATATAGTATAACTATTATGTCCTGAAAACACGGATGATGTAAATGATTCGAGGTTGTAAAAATCCTCACTTGAGTTGCAATCATATCCTGGATGAAAAAATGCAAGTAGAATGATCTGAATTCGTGAGGAATTATATCTATAGAAAGTTAATATGACTTAACAGTAAACGTAAACAGATTCGTCCTTCTAACGACCATAACCAAATAATAATACAAATTAAAAACAACATAAATACACACCATAAGAACACCAATAATATGACGAATATGTAGAAACTGTCTCTATCAAGGATATGCCTTTTAATAAAATAATATATGATATTAATCCCGCAGAAAATATGAAACATCATCTGATTGGAACTATACCAAGCTGTGTTGGTAACATGAGAAGCTATTCGACCCGGGGGTCTTTATAAAATTCACCATATATCTTATTAAGAAATAATACTCCACTTTTCGTGTCTAGTTTGCTGTAACAATAGCACAAAAAGGTATCCAACTAGAATTTGAAATATGCAAATCTTGAAGGCGACATCCCCTCAACAAAATACAACAAAATTTAGGAAAAAATGAAAATAAGTTCCTTTATTACTAGTTTTCAAATTATTTTTCTGTCATTTGACAAAACAACTTTTTAAGCTTCTTGGAAAATAGATAGGTACATGTAGTTAAGCATCTAACCTATAAAAATGATCCTAAATGTATCAAATAAAACCACGTTACGCTGTATCAGTGCATTGTGCTCGGATACGAAGCATCATTTGCGTGAGCACATAATTACTAGAATCAACCCTTTAAAACTTAACATCATTTCAATTTTGCACTGATCTGATTATTATAACGTAGTCTATTTATCCGATCCGATCTATTTATCCGATCTGATCTGTGAAAGTGACACTCATCAGTTATTTAGATTTCTTTTTTTTAACAATGTCATCAGTGTTATTTTGTTCGATTTAATTTTTTGCACTATTGTCACGTAAACCACTCTGAAAGTCAGACAAGTTCAACACGATTTTTTTAAATTATTTATTTAAAGTTCAAAAATAGTTACAGTGTAAAAAGTAAACACCCCTATAAATCATCCCCGCCATGGTATATAACGATGCGACAGAAGAATACTCTCAGAATCTCTCGCGGAGAAGGCTGGGCTTGAGCATAATTCAAAAGGGCCAAGTGCTAATAGAAACAATGTTTTTCACACCGTGTAAACCATTGCTTTTCATATGCTTCTTTACAATCGTAGTAGTTACTTACTCCAGTAATATTCCAGATGGGAATCAAAGTAAAATAAAGATCACGAACGATTCGCTCCCTAATATCATAAATGCTATTGATGAAGGGGGAATTGCAATCGATGACGAAACACCAACGGAAGAAATTGAGACGTTTCAACGTGGAGAAGAAGACGAGCAAGAAGTTGGGGAACCATTGGAAGCTGGTTTACCACCCGATGATGCGTCTAACCCTCACCTCGAAGAAGCTATCAGAGCTTTAAAATCAAGCAAATCTGATCTAGATGATTTTCTGAAGTCTCTCTCTAATCTAGAGCTAAGAGAACTTCTAAAAACTGCAAACATATCAAGCGATAAATATGAGGGAGATGTCGACCTTACGAGAGAACAAATCATTAGACTTATTCAATTCCTCGAACAGCTTGAATCTTCAAAAAGACTCAGCGTTTCTGGCAACATCAAAGATGAAGATGCGTATGAGGAACAAGTGGGTGTTGAGTATAAATCGCTTGAAGACAAAATGAAAGAGATAAAGAAGAAACATATGAGAGAACAAGACCCGACAAAACATCGTGTTAAAAGGAAAATGTTGAGGCGTTTCGATAGTAATGAAACATGGACATTCCCTATCAAAGTATACATTGATCCAAAATTCGACGATGACACTTTATGTAAGTATGCTATTACTCCAATATTTGTGTATTTATAAGAAAGTTACTTACATTTTAGTGATACGTCTAAAACATAAACGAATAAATTGATTATGTTAATTTGAATACTCAGATTCTTGTTCCCAAAACTTTATAGATAAGTGTATCAGTCTTGGGCGGACAAAGTAATTCAACGCTCGTGTCTTAAGTAAGAGTCATTACCATTGCTGCTGTACTTTCTCTGATAATCTGTCTAATGCATTATATTGTATCTAACAGATATTCGCTTCGTGTAAGAAGAATTTAAACAAACATATCGACAGTCATTTGCTACTATACTTTCTCTGATAATCTGTCTAATGTATTATATTGTATCTAACAGATATTCGCTTCGTGTAAGAAGAATTTAAACAAACATATCGACAGTCATTTGCTACTATACTTTCTCTGATAATCTGTCTAATGCATTATATTGTATCTAACAGATGATCGCTTCGTGTTAGGAAGAATTTAAACAAACATATCGACAGTCATTTGCTACTATGCTTTCTCTGATAATCTGTCTAATGCATTATATTGTATCTAACAGATGATCGCTTCGTGTTAGGAAGAATATAAACAAACATATCGACAGTCATTTGCTACTATACTTTCTCTGATAATCTGTCTAATGCATTATATTGTATCTAACAGATGATCGCTTCATGTTAGGAAGAATATAAACAAACATATCAACAATTATTTGCTACTATACTTTCTCTGATAATCTCTCTAATGAATTGTATTGTTTTTAAGAAGTGATCGATTCATGTTAGGAAGAATAAACAAACATATCGACAGTCATTTGCTACTATACTTTCTCTGATAATCTGTCTAATGCATTATATTGTATCTAACAGATGATCGCTTCGTGTTAGGAAGAATATAAACAAACATATCGACAGTCATTTGCTACTATACTTTCTCTGATAATCTGTCTAATGCATTATATTGTATCTAACAGATGATCGCTTCGTGTTAGGAAGAATATAAACAAACATATCGACAGTCATTTGCTACTATACTTTCTCTGATAATCTGTCTAATGCATTATATTGTATCTAACAGATATTCGCTTCGTGTTAGGAAGAATATAAACAAACATATCGACAGTCATTTGCTACTATGCTTTCTCTGATAATCTGTCTAATGCATTATATTGTATCTAACAGATGATCGCTTCGTGTTAGGAAGAATATAAACAAACATATCGACAGTCATTTGCTACTATACTTTCTCTGATAATCTGTCTAATGCATTATATTGTATCTAACAGATGATCGCTTCGTGTTAGGAAGAATATAAACAAACATATCGACAGTCATTTGCTACTATACTTTCTCTGATAATCTGTCTAATGGATTATATTGTATCTAACAGATGATCGCTTCATGTTAGGAAGAATATAAACAAACATATCAACAATTATTTGCTACTATACTTTCTCTGATAATCTCTCTAATGAATTGTATTGTTTTTAAGAAGTGATCGATTCATGTTAGGAAGAATAAACAAACATATCGACAGTCATTTGCTACTATACTTTCTCTGATAATCTGTCTAATGGATTATATTGTATCTAACAGATGATCGCTTCATGTTAGGAAGAATATAAACAAACATATCAACAATTATTTGCTACTATACTTTCTCTGATAATCTCTCTAATGAATTGTATTGTTTTTAAGAAGTGATCGATTCATGTTAGGAAGAATAAACAAACATATCGACAGTCATTTGCTACTATACTTTCTCTGATAATCTGTCTAATGGATTATATTGTATCTAACAGATGATCGCTTCGTGTTAGGAAGAATATAAATAAATATATCGACAGTTATTGCTATTGTTTGAATGTCTGTCCAAATGTAACATCTATGGTATGTTTGACTAATGTTGAATCAGAAAGACTATGAAGTCCACGGTGTATCCATCCTATGGCAGATTTGACAACATTTTTGTCAAAAGGCTTTGTACATTCCTTCCATTGCGTTGCCCTGCCCTATTGCACGTCGGTACATAAACATCTGTGCAAAAATCCATTAGTTGGAATTATACATTTCGCTTTACTTTACTTCACTTCACTTTACAGTTCTATCCGCCTGGAAATATATCCATTAGATCCTATGTCATGAACAAACTAAATGGGTTGGGGTACAATAAACATAGTTTATTGGGGTTGCTATGGCAACCAATTGTACTACTACAAAATAATAACATATTTACTACAAATAATACGTGAAAAAAAAAAAAATATATATATTTTCAAGCACATGCCAAATTTTGCAGTAAATCTCTCAGCTGATCTGATTGGTCAGAAATATACGCCTATACAAGCTGCCATCTATATACACTAAAAGTCTCTAAAAGCATATAACAGGTTTATTATCTGCTACTTTAGACATTTGAGATAAGTGATAACAACAAAATCTTAACACAATTAGGCTGCGTTTTTGAAAATAGATCCAAAAGCCCCGCATTGCAAGTGACCCGTACCCATAAGTGTACCTATAAAAACTTAAAAAATTATTAAAAGGGTAAAATAGAATTCCAGAACTATTGTTATGCAATTTGATTCTTTATTTAAGTATATTTTGAACAAATCACAAAATAGTGTTGAAAATATGCTAAAAGGTGTTTTTGACAGTGAATCTTTACAATTGTTATGTTGATACTAAGAGTGTGTAGTTCTGCCAGATTTTAACAGAACCTTGATTAACGTCTTGAGTTTTGTAGATTTATTTGACTTGTCAATGTATGAACAACAATGTGTCCTAATACAAGGCTTCGCTTCATTTGCCAGTCATACATATACAGTTAGTAATCCCATTGTCTTGAAAGACATCCTATTGTGTTTTTGTTGTAAACAATGAATGACCTTCTCCATTCATTGACAGAATGAGGTTCTTCCACAAGCCCCTTCTGATTTATCTTAGTTGTTGAGTATTGACACTATTATATAATTCAAACATGAAATAAGAGAGGGTCCAAAGTGTGGAAGATACACAATGTGAACATTTAGCAAAAAATGTTTCAAAAAGGAGGCCTTATTTGAAATTGCCACTATAATCATGAATCGATGCTCCCTTTAATGTATTACTTGCGGTAGGTGCAACATAGAACCTTCTCCAAAAACAAAAAAAAGCTTATTTGGAAAGACATTCTGGACTGACTGACCTTCCAACAAACTGTCATTTAGAATATTGTCAACGTATAGTGCTATAGAGACATCCAACCCGGGTACCCATACATAATTCTGAGCAGGATATTTGGTTCATATATATATGTGTCATTTCCAATACAGCAATTAAATCACAGGCTTCTTAAAATATGTTTGTCAAAATCCTGTTCGTATTCTATGCACCCTTGGTATACGCAGCTAACGAAAATTGACCGGTACGGGTCAAAAGCTGGACCGGTACGGGTTAACGGTTTTATTTGAATTTAAAACAGCCATAACTTGCTCAATATTGACTTCCTCGTGTCTAATTTGAAATATATGATGCCTCCCGATGCTTTTACGTACCCCAATTTGATTTTACCCCCGTTTGATTTTATATAAAATCAAACGCGCGTCATTGAAACTCACGCGCATTTGATTTTATATAAAATCAAACGCGCGTCATTGAAACTCACAAGATGTAAATAGCATGTCATTTACATCATACCTTGATGGGGAAAAATAGATCTTATATGTAAGAAGTACTAAATAAAAGTAATCGTGAAAATGAGAGAAAAGAGCATAAATGCGCATTTAGAGAGTTTTGGTCCGTTTAAAAATCTGTAAAAAATTGGGGTACTTAAAAGCATCGGGAGGCATCATATATTTCAAATTAGATACGAGGAAGTCAATATTGAGCAAGTTATGGCTGTTTTAAATTCAAATAAAACCGTTAACCCGTACCGGTCCAGCTTTTGACCCGTACCGGTCAATTTTCGTTAGCTACGTATACCAAGGGTGCTATGAGAACATGTGATATGCAAGCAATGAGCCAGATAAATGGAAAATATGTTTTGGCTAGTCATTTGTTTGAATGAATGTTGCATGTTAAGTGTTCATATAAAATAAATTAAGACCATTTTGTCACCTATCATCATTTTAATTTCCGTGATAATGCCAAATAGAAAATATAATGCAATGGAAAGTCGCAACTTGATTTAGCTTGAATCTAGGGTTTTATTTTCAACTGTTGCTCTTTGTGTTCTACCTCAGCTTTAATGATGTTTTGTCATCTTCCCAAGGTTGAATATCTAGGTTAAAGCAACAATGTAGATAATAACAGTGATTTTGGTACTATTGTTCGGAAAATCTTTAACAAGGTTCATTTTAGGATATGATATATTCGTTTTAGGTGTTATCTTATGATTTGTGTTTCCAGTATCTTGCCCTTTGTGTCCCACCTTAATGGTGTTTTGATAAACTCTCTAGGCTGAAGTCCTACTGTATACCAACTGAGGTAATCTTGGTACTATTGTTCAAAACATATTTTTTTTAAATCATTTGTTAAGATATATTAGGTTTTTAAGGGTTATTTAGTGATATTTGTTATCAATATGTTGCCCTTTGTGTTCTAACTTAACGATGTTCTGATATATCAATTGATTGAATGGTTAACATACTTAAATGGTTATGAATGAAGACTAACACATCCACGGATAGTATTCAAAGCCCCGCTTTAAAAGTCGCGAGCAAGTTCCCGAGAAAAGTCCTGTTAATATGTATCACTTTGGAAAATGGACAAAAAGGGTGAAAATTCTTATTACCGTTTTTTGATACTTCAGCAATACTTTGAAAAAAATATATTTGACAAACAACGACATGAAAAATGATTATTTTTCACTTGCATGGAAGAAAGGGGCGTCAACATGCATGTTTGCATAATTTACTTTTCATACATTACCTTTATCGTTAAAATAAAGACAATAAAAACGATTTTCATACTCCATAATACATATTGGATCAATATGGTCTGTATTGATAAGTAACTGTACATTTACGTCTGCCATGGGGGTCGACAACATTAAATGTGTTTCAGTGGCCCCGCTGAAAACATGATCATGAGGAGATACCGAATGGAACAACGTAGAATCATACGCATCCAAACTTAGGAAACCAAAGAAACTTTGGTCCAAATATGTGTACACTAGCTGAGCACCGTGCTGCTGTAGATCCGAGAAAGAGTCGAAGGCAAATATACAAAGCCGGCTTTCAAAGCCGGCTTTTAAAGCTGGCTTCTACAGTACATCAGAAGCCGGCTTCTGGCGTCACCAAGAAGCCGGCTTTTAAAAACCGGCTTCGAATGACTTACAAAAGCCGGCTTCTGCAGATACCAAGAAGCCAGTTTTTAAAGCCAGATTCTCTCTCTCAATCATTTTGTTGTGCATTATGCATCTTATTCTTGTATAATTAGCATGGAAATGAGAAAAAAATGAAAATAAGTAAAATTGTAACATATTGCATGATTTTTTGCAAAAAGTAATTTCAAACCAAAACTATGGAGGTAATTTAATTCTAAGTAAAAATATCGATGAATTTAATCATGTTCGTTAAATAAGAGTAGATTATGCATTGCATTTCTGTTTGATAAAAACGCATCGCTCATTTTACAAAACTGGCTCCAACTTGGAGATCGTTTGCAAATCAGCTCGCTCCATCTTACACAAGCTATGTAGGGGCAATCTAGCAACTTGGAATCACGGGATACTGTTTCATGATAATTGTTATGTGCATTATGCATCTTATTCTCGTATAATTTGCATGAAAATGAGAAAAAACTGAAAAATACGTAAAATTATGACATATTTCAAGATTTTTTGGAAAAGTCATTTCAAGCCAAAACTATGACAGTAAATTGAATTCTAAGCACAGATATCGATGGATAAGATCACATTCATTAAATCAGAATAGATTATGCATTGCATTTCCGTTTAATAAAAACGCACCGCTCACTTTTCAAAACTGGCTCCAACTTTGAGCCAGTTTGCAAATCAGCTCGCCCCATATGATAAATGCTATGTAGGTACAATCTGGTAACTGGGAATCACGAAATACTATCTCACGATTATTTTGTATGTGCATTATGCATGTTATTCTCAGTTTTTTTTCTCATTTTCAGGCCAATTATACGAGAATAAGATGCATAATTCACATAAAAATAATCGTGAGACAGTATCCCGTGATTCCCAGTTGCTAGATTGCCCCTACATAGCTTGTGTAAGATGGAGCAAGCTGATTTGTAAACTGGCTCCAAGTTGGAGCCAGTTTTGTATAATGAGCGGTGCGTTTTTATTAAACGGAAATGCAATGCATAATCTGTTCTGATTTGGGGAACATGATTTAAGTCATCGATATTTTTACTTAGAATTGATTTTTCTCTCATAGTTTTCGCTTGAAATGACTTTTTGCAAAAAATCTTGAAATAAGTTACAATTTTACGTATTTTTCAGTTTTTTCTCATTTTCATGCAAATTATACGAGAATCAGATGCATAATGCACATAGAAATGATCGTGAGACAGTATCCCGTGATTCCCAGTTGCTAGATTGTCCCTACATAACTTGTGTAAGATGGAGCGAGCTGATTTGTAAACTGGCTCAAAGTTGGAGCCAATTTTGAAAAATGAGCGGTGCGTTTTTATAAAACGGAAATGCAATGCATAATCTGTTCTGATTTAGTGAACATGATCTAATTCATCGATATTTTTACTTAGACTTCAATTTTCTCTTATAGTTTTGACTTGAAATGACTTTTTGCAAAAAATCTTGAATTATGTTATAATCTTACATATTTTCAGTTTTTCCTTATTTTCATGCAGATTATACGAGAATAAGATGGATTGCATAATCCACATCAAAATGTCGGTTTTTGCCTTCGAGTACTTCTGGTAGATCCCGAGGACATATCTAGCATTTAAAACAGACAAATTTCTTAAAGATTTCTTTTTATTTTCAATTCAATGCCAAAGCGTTTTATATCGGAATTTTGTTGAATCAAGAACATTATAGTATAATTTGCTACTTAACTCGTTCTTGATGTCAGTGTTTGTTGAGCTTGTTGCTACCAAAATGACCTTTGGTGTGGCATTTGGCGCCAAGTTTCGGCTTATTCAAAACAGACATCCCTCGTCACTGGCGATCATGTTGACCCTGGTCCGATACTGTGTTGTCTTAAAGTTGCGACCTCCTGTTTAGCGGAACCGACTGTATGACATTTAGAACCCTCTGAAACGGAAATGACCTCGAGAAAGCCTTTGTTACCCCCTTTGGATTTGTTCATATTATTTGAAGCTTCTTTTGCACCTTTTCAAATAATGTTGACCTAACTATCTGAGGCGATATTACTCGATTATATATAATAATACAAGTTACCCACAATGACATCTATAACAAAACATTTTATCTCTACGTAATAAAAGAGTTTTACCTTCTGTTATATTCTTCTCAATTGACTGTGCTTTTGTAATCCAGCAGTTTCAACTATGTAGTGTGAATTCATGCGGTAGAATCTTCAAAAGTGGTTGGAACTTTGTAGTTAAATTCCACTAGAGTTGCCATATAGGTTTATTGAATAGAACGAAGTGTACTGTGTTGGCTAGACGACGACAAAGCTCAGAATGTCTTTCTGTACACTCTACTCACAGCACTCCCTCACTTACATAACTCAAAATTGGACTGAACTCTTCGTTGAGCCAATAGAAAGCATTTATGTTGTGAGGTCTCTATGATCCACTGAACATAAACATTATTTAATGTGTATTTTTTCGTTTCCTAAAAGAAATCCTCCAATTATAGTGATATAATATCACCCTTTGACTTTTCCAATTTTATTAGTTCTCAATGCCGGGAGGACCATCAGAAAGGCTCTAAAAGTTTGGGCGGATAAAACATGTGTTAGCTTCACTGAAGTGTCTTCGCCTACCACGACCTCTGGCATATTCTTCAAAAGTGGAACGGGGTAGGTTTTTACCCTAGATTTGTTTCATATCTGTGTATCGCCACATGGTACCCTTTAGAGTTGAATACCATACATTCAATATTTGAGGAGTCCACATTTGCCGTATCATTGAGAGCTGTCTAGGGTTTGATAAAACAAGATTACAATTAAAAAATAATATATTGTTGAATTGAACATAATTGTAAAAATGCCTTTATCGCCGATTTTGCATCTTCTTTGCCAGCAGGTTCAAATATTGCATAAAAAACGGATAAACATTTTTCCAGATGTACCTCAACCATAGGGAAAGCCGCCAGTGATGTTGCTATGAACGAAATAGTTTTAAAATATCCAAACTGTTTCAGTGTAAGTAATATTATACGGTCTATAATTCATATCAGCAATGTTTGTATTAAAACAGTAGAAAATAACACAAATGATTGCCATTTATATTACAACGTATATTTATGTAGCATCATGTTTTTTATAAAGTGCAAATGTGTAGAAAAAATACCAAGAAAGTCATATTATGACATCGTTATAAAGGACGCATCAAATTGATGAAGATGCTATGATGTATACATATAAGTACGCTAAGCTTTAGTACGCATACAGTATATATCAAGAATGTAATGATACTATTGAGTACTCATATATCAATAATGTCGTAGGTACGCATATATCTATGATGTAAAGTACATGTATGTATCGATAATGTTATAATGCTATTAGATAAGCATCGATGATGTTATGACGTACGCATGTATCAATAATGTCATAGGTACGCATATATCTATGATGTTATTTGCATGTATGTATCGATAATGTTATAATGCTATTAGATAAGCATCGATGATGTTATGAAGTACGCATGCATCAATAATGTCATGAGTACGCATATGTAAAGTACATGCATGTATTAATAATGTTATAATGCTATTAGGTAAACATCCATGATATTATGAAGGTAGCATATATTGGTCATGTATTAGGTTTCGCATATGTCAATGTATGTTTTTCTTATTACCAGGATGGTAATATTCAGCGTCAAATAGGCCATGCGTTGGGTCTCGTACCCGAATTTGCAAGACCAGATAGGGACTCTTACGTCGAAGTGCAAGGCGTTAACACCCGCCCGGGAATGGATTCGTCTTTTCTTTCGTTTAATTGGTTTCAATCTCTGACAGAAAATGTGGAGTACGATTATGGTTCAGTTATGCAAGATCGAGAATCGGTAAGCCACATATGATACAAGTATGAGTAATCTAATCTCACACCCAATGATACAATAAAGCAGGGAACCAAGGGCCTAAAGTTACGATGCCCTTTGTATAACTAGCTTGCCAAGAGGCACCTGCAAACTATATTGATAAGATAACATAATTAAAGTACTGTAAACACAAAATGGACTCTGTATATTTTCTCTTTGTCAGATTCCCGAACAAGTTTATTTAAATAAACAAATATTATCATTAAATTTGCAAATGGGTCGTAAGGAATCTTAGAATGCAACTGAACATGAATGTGTTTTTTATTGCATTAAAATACAACAGAAAATCGTAAAATAGTGTTTGCTCTTACTTTAGCATTTTGCCAGACCGGGTACCACAACATTGCTGGCCAAGTTTAGCGAATATCAAAATACAATGGGACAGAAGGCAGGCCTTTCTTTCTCCGATGTGAAGATTTTCAATTATCAATATTGTAGTGGTGAGCATTTTAAATAGGACTATACCTACATAAAATGGTGTCTATAGACAAAATATATTTAAAATTGAAAACCTTTGATCATTTGACACGAAGTGCAGTATCGAGACAGTTTAAATGCATTAACCGTTTTAGTTAAAAAATATGCTACAAATTGCGCAATTTATTGGTTTCAGTGGATAAATTTAAGTATTTGTAATTTGTTTTACATAGAAACGTGTCCAGGCTATTGTAAATTGGAATGGTCCGAATGCAAGCACGGTGGATACAGAGACCCACTCAACTGCGATGTGTGTCGATGTCCTGATGGATGGAGCGGTCCAAAATGTGAAACGCTGCAACCTGCCACAAATGGTAACATTCATTTGCATGTACATTGAACTTCGAACTACAGTATATGTATATTGAAAAGCATTTACTTGTTGCTTTCTTCAGTTTTCCCAGATAAATATCATAGTTTAAATGTTATGTACTTGTATAGCAATATTCATCAAACGCGCGAAGTGATCCTTTCAGCGTAAAACGTTAAATTCTTGAGAGCACTGGGTCGAAGTTTTAAAAAGAGTCACCTTACAGTTTGACACATTTTTTAATTTATCAAAATGAACAAAGTAACTTAAATTAAATGATCACTAATGAAACTTGAGTGGCATCGCAAGCCACATTTTTGATATTTCCAAATTGATGTAGCTGTTAAGGAATTGCAGAAGCAGGTTCTTTGCTTTTGTACAAGGTTTCTTTGTTGCTTTCAGCTGTTTGTGGTGGAATAAAGACTGTAGATTCAACTCCAAGAACATTGCAAAGCCCAGGATACCCAACTCCAGGATATGTCCTTCTCACTTCGTGTACATGGCTGCTTCAGGTAGGTCCATATTCAATATGAGACCATCAACATCTACAAATAGTGTGTTACCACCACATATTTAACGTATACACCCCAGCTTTATCTCGTTCCAATCCCATTCTTGTATTGAGCGATCGCGAATACAATAGGAATCAAAGTTTTATTTCAAAATTAGAAGTGTCTCATAAGCCGGAGACGGCTGGGGGCTATTGCCTGTTTTGTAAATCATATGTCTCATATATTGTATAGCCTGTGACACTATAATAAATATTTAACTAACTAACTAACTAACTAACTAACTAACTAACTAACTAACTAACATATTTATTTTACGATTCTAAACACCAGCCTAAACGTTCTCAAAACCGTAAACGTATATATTTATTGTTTAATGTATGAGTTGACAAGCTGAATAATATGTTAGTCTGGCATTTTAATTTGGGAAATGACTAATATCACTATAAAGTTGTTGTCATGAATAACATCTCGAAATATGGATTTTTTCAAATACACCCGTAGTGTCCGTTAATTTTTCAAAAAACCTAGAGATTCATTTATCTCATTATAGGAACAATTGTAAAATTGATTGCTTTATGTATCGTGCAAAAGTTTCATTGAAGTTCATGCATGTCCAAAAAAGTTATATCGAAATAATAAATATGTGCGTTTTGGCCCATCCTGTAATATACGTCACTATTGTAACCATGCAAGACTTTAGGAACTAGATAATCTCAGATGTTGATAATGGCCATTGACTGGTTGTTCAACATCTCGATTTTTCTTCTGCACAACATTTTTACATCACGATTTGTAGACCCCCCCTTGTTGATACTTTTTAATATAATATTTTTGTCGACGTCCTGCTTGCATTTTGATTTTCTTTACAAGGCACCACCTGGGCAACATGTAAATGCACGTGTCGTCGGCGATTTTGAAACAGACTGTGCTAGCACGAATTCACCTGTATGTGACCATGATTGGCTTGAAATTAGATATGCAGATCTTGGACATACTGGACCAAGGTACCAATATATTATTCCATGCAGGGACACTGGAAACTAAATTTTAAATATACTTTTAAACTATAACTCATATTTACATTTTTGTCATACTTCGTATCATAACAATCAATTGAGATAATAGTGTCACATATAAATTCACGTTCATTATTCATTAATTATAACACTATAGCAGGTTTAAGATGACCTCCAGCCGATGTCGGCTTATTCGTGTTATTTATATAAAACTTATTTATTAGATTCTGCTTATTCGCTTTATCATAGGTACTGTTGCACTGGAAAACCGAGCAAAACGTTTGTGTCCGTCGGAAACGAAATGATGATCCTCCTTAGGTCAAATGATGTTTTCGTTGGTATCGGCATGAAGACCGGATTTCAACTTGAATATTTTTCTACGACAGGTAGGTTTTCAGGAGCCATCGGCTTGGTTCAAAACTAGTCATTTGAAGAACAATGATTTAAAAATCACGTTTTTGGTGTAAAATTGATTCTAACGAGTTTCATCCTGTTACCCCCCTATCACACCAAACTAGTTCTTGCCAGTCCTACGAAAACGTCGTAGAACGGGCTCAATCTGGCTGTGTGGTCGGGAAATATGTCAAAAATAATAAGCTACTTCGTTCATAAGCAGTCTTCAATACGTCCATCTCTTTAACAGTTAGTTCAGGTCGCACCACGTCGGTGTGCAACGTCGTACAACGCGTCCCTTAGTCTAAAAGGTCATCATGACCTGATTGCAGAACGGCATGGTCGCCATCGAATTTTGAATCATTTCTTAATTCTAAAATCACCTTTCCGTCTGAGAACGCTCATGAAGTTCGTAAATAGTCCTTAGAAGGTTGCAGCTACGTTCATTCCGTTCCCACACAGTTTAAAACCAGTTTTGAAGAACGCAGTGGCAACTTGTTTGGTGTGATAGCTATATTTTTGCTAACTCGTTCATAAGCAGTCTTCAATACGTTCTTAATCAGTTTAAACCCGTTTGCAATTAGTTCTACCTCGTTCGCAATACATCCTCAGAAAGTTCAACTCGTTGTAAAAACGCCCTTAGTAGGATTGAAGTACGACGGTTCCGTTCGTAGTACGTCCAGTTCGTCGTTAATACGTTGTCACTCGTTCTAATAATAGAACGTGACGACCACGAGAGCATTTTTAGCATGTTCTAAGTTCTAGAGGACCTATCCGTTCAAGTACGTTCGATGAAGTTTGTAAATAGACCCCAAACGGTTCTAAGTACGTCCAGTCCGTTCGTACACAATTGAAGCCCGTTTTCAAGAACGTAGTGAGAACGAGTTTGGTGTGATAGTAGGGTAACCGTACTATCACACCAATATAATTCTCACTACGTTCTCGAAAACGGGTTTAAACTGTGAACGGACGGAATGGACGTACTTAGAACTTACAAAGGCCATGAACGTACTCGTATGAAAAGTCCGCCAGAACTTTCAGAAGCATTCTCAAAATTTTCGATGGCCGTCACGTTCTGCAATTAGAACAAGTGACAACGTCCTTAAAACGAGCTTGACGCACTACGAACGGATCTATCGTACTTCAATTTTAGAAGAGACGATTTTAGAACGAGTACTAGTTGAATTGACTGAAGACGTATTGAGAACAAGGTAACACTAATTGCAAACGGGTTAAAACTGACTAAGGACGTATTATGAACGAGTTCGCTAAAAATAAAGCTATCAGCCAGAATTAGTTGCCATTGAGTTCTTACTGTAAACACTTTGCCGAACATGTTCAAACTGAGTGCAAACTTAATGAACGTAGCTGCAACTTTCCATGGTCTATTTACGAACTTCATGGACGTACTCGGACGGGAAGGTGATTTAGAATTTTGAATCATTCCAAAATTCGTCTGTGACAACGTACTTCAAACGAGATGACCATCTAGGCTAGGAACATAATCGCCGTACTTCGACCCTACTACGGACGCGTTAACGACGTTGCGAAATCGGATATCAATCGTAGTACGTGAACGCACCGACATGGTGCGACCTGCACGAACTGCGAATAAAATGGACGTATTGAAAACTCTTTATGAACGAAGTGGTTAATTATTTTAGACATATTTCCCGACCACAGCCAGATATAGCCCGTTTTACGATTTTATGTAGGACGGGAACGAACGATTGAGAACTAGTTGATGTGATAGGGGAGGGGGGGGGTATGAATTTATAAATGAAGCGTGTCATTACTGCAAGTTAACTTTATGTAATACCTTCACAATCACAAATATAAACTACTGACGAAAAATAATGAGTAGATCTCCTTTACACTGAATGATCATATGGCTCAATTGAATCTCATTACAGGTGATACCAACGTCCCATGTAAATATCTGAAGCTTAAAGATCTTGACAATAGAGAACAAAAATGGAGAGAGGGAATCTTTAAAAAACTCGCTATGCCATGGAATTCTAAACCTGTTTACAAGCACTTGTACGAACCAGAGTACATGTACTATGAGTCGGGCGACTGGGTTGTTGGTCCAGTGATAGGAGGGACAACTGCAGGGGTTAAAATCCAAAGCAATGCGGCGTCACCCGACGAAGCAATTGGAACATGGAAGTCGTACAGATCCGAAGATTGGCTCACAGAACCTCGATTGTCATTAACGTGTTCCGATTTATGTGACAGGATTTGGCTCAGCGGTATTTCAAAACAGTCTACATACAATTACCTAAACGGAGCTTACACGTTGTTTGAAATAGACACCAACGGAGCACCAGTCTACAAAAGGACGACCTCCTCTGATGGGGTTGTAACACTAAACATGATAGGCGGAAATAAATGGCAGTTAAAGTCTGATTCACACACGTTGGTATCACCTTTTACTACGATTGTAACAAATCCAACAAAGATACCAAATACATGGTCGATTGACGATGAGAAAATAAAAATTGAGTGTTACTTTGGTGAGTATGATACAATATTATAGCTGTCATCAATCGACTTATTTACTTTTACACATATTTCCTTAATTTACGCTATTTTTAAGAGTCGGCACTAATACAGTGTCTAAGGCTCAACACTGATTTTTCAGGGCCTTCACCATGTGACTCAATAATGGTGTCCGGGATCAAAGATTACCAAGCAAATCGTATGGGACTTTATTTCCCCGAAGGACCGTTATATAACGGACGTCCTATGTACAAGCACGAATCTGGGGATCACGTTATGTATCACAATATCATAAATGAAACTAGAAGGTATTGGATTATCGGACCGGATATGAAAGGAGCTGGTGGTGTGATGATCACAGATACAGCCATGGTTCCCGAAAATATCAATGCTGATACGTGGCAACTGTTTGATGGCGACACTATCCAATGGATAGACGTCAACACCGGATCAGCAAGCTGCGCGAATCTTGGTGCGTTTACTTACTACTTTTACTGGTTAGAAAACACCAATGTTTTTGATCCATTGACCTGCATGTTTTATTTTTGGATTTTAAATCGATAATTTCTTAAATACCAGCCTATGGTTTTTTTGCATTAAATGATACTAGGCTAGAGTAAAAGCTTTTACAACAGACCATATTTCATACTCAGCTGACCATTTATTTCCATCTATTCAGACCAAGAAATCATTCTTAAAAACGTATTATTTATTTACATCCTGAGTCTGCTGAAAATTTGGTTTATGTTAGGAATTATACCACGTCTACAGTCCCGGGCACTATTGCATGTTATTTATTAGAGATTTTACATTTTGGCAGTTCATCCAATGATACGTATGACACGATGGAGTAAGGTCATTTTTACCAATCAAAATGGATTCCAAATACATCTATGAATAGTATAGCCACTATTCCATTCATATTTAAATGAGTTCGTAACAATATAGTAGCTTAATCCGAAGGGGGGGGGGTGAGATTTCCCAAATAACAGCGTTGTTACTGACACGTTCATTAACCGATTTTAACCAGGCCCTATTTGCCATTGCAATTCATCTCAGAATGTTCACTGTTGTTTTAATGATTATTCTCTAAAAGTTTGGATGGCCTAACAAAAGTAATATTACGGTGGTTTAGAAATTATGATGTTAACCTGAAATAAACGCCATTTCCTCGATTTCAAATTTTACCATGTTCATGAGTGGCTCTGAGAACTTGCATACGCATACACAAGCTCAACCAATGCTCCTGGAATGGATAACTCTTATACTATACAATGGGTGATTCTCATAACTGGCTATGGCTATGTATACTAAGTACAATATTGACTACGTGACACAACAAAACCTTATAGACATACATGTATTTCTAAGCCATGGTCTAAATGTAATTGTTCATAGCTTCCCAAGCTTGCAGACATGTATCCAATAGATTAATTACAATTGTTCCAAATACGTTTCGGATTATATTTAAACATTAGAATTGATATAATAATTATTTTCCGTATACTTTTACACGAACGTTTTGTGAGAAGCCGCCCATCCAACTGGTTAAGACTAATCAACCAGTCTTCTTCTGAGAAATTGAGGATTTTAGCAAGGGTGCATTTCAAGTGATTTTTCAAAATATACCAAAACATATCAAAAATTAAAGTACAAAACCTCTTCTGTTGTAGGCCGTTATCACTTGTATTTATATCTTGTCTGTATCTGGTATTTTCAATTCATATTTTTTTCATAGTATTTCCATGGTGGCGGCGGGGAAAAGACAAACGCTTCAGGAGAGGTAATATAATTCGATTACTTTGTGCTAAAGGATTTTGACATTTTGATGAGGGCTGAAAGCCCGTGTAAAAATACATGCATCTCAAAAATTGAATATTGGCGAGTCATTTAAAGTTATGTCAAATAGTCTTCTGATTAATCCGGTAAAAGCGTCATTGGCAAATATAAAACAGAGGTTGCAAGATAACCAAATTAGCAAATAAGTCAAATATCAATCATATGTAGACTTATGGCAACTGTCACCACTTTTGGTGGTGAAATAATAACCAGCAGGAAGTAGAAGTTAAGTAATATCTCATTTTTACGAAATCAATACCCATGATGTGAGCAAATTCGTCAGCTGGTAATAGGGTTGCCATACCCTACAATTGTACGAAAATAGCAGCCATTTTGGAATGAGCAACCGTGTTGAAAATGCCTTCTTGACCACAGGGCATTTTCCCATGAGACAATAGCCTATACATTTTAGACCATTTCCATAAATAGTTTTGAGTTACCCAAAAAAAAACTTTTTTATGAAAACGGCACACATTTTTAAATTCAGCAGCCATATTGGACATTTCTTATTGAGTAGAACTATTTTGTCCAGACGGAATCATGATATTATGAACAAATCTGCCTACTATGTTGAGTTATTAAATAATACATTTTTGCGGAAAGTGTCGGCTATAAGCAATTCAGAGACATTCTTGAATTTTTTTCTCGAGAAGGACTGCTATTTCTAAGGCATCAGGATTCAAACTTTGAACCATATCCGTCGACAAGTAAGAAAAATCACATTTTTCGAAAAATGGTGAATTCCACTGCAATTTCGAAATGCCTTCCCAAGCAAAGGTTTCATGCCAATAAAGGATCAACTCTATGAAAAGGCCACGTGCAGTATGACCATTGATTTTAGAGGGTCATATCTTCCCCCATGAGTACTTTCCGGGCATAAATACAATGTTTTTTATTAAAACAATATGTTTTCTTTCAAGTGAAATACCCACGATGATAAAATATAAATCAAACAATTCCCAAAATTATGAATAGGGACCCCTTGTCAACATTTTTTTTCAAAATATTGAACCTATTCACTCAGAAGAGGATCTTCGTTTTCTGATTTTTATTGCATGAAAACATTTTTCAACAAGGGGTCCAAGACATGTTCGAAAATAGAATGGTATTGAAAGTCTAGTTTGAAGATGAATTTTCGATGACCATAATGATACTGAAAACAATGGATAGCACGAGTTTTCCCTATGGGAAAATAACACAGGATATGTGGTTTTTAACTTTAACTCAATTTAATACCCATCCCCTTTCAGAAATTGTTAATATAGTGTAGAGGAGACTTTTGATATGTTTAAAGTGAGAAAAACAAGATCCTCTTTTTAGAAAATAAGCATAGCATTTTTCAAAAAGTGCCAGGGCGGGGCCCTTATCCATAATTTTTCAGAGAGTTGGATTGATATGTTACTAATATGGGGACTTCACTTGAAAGAAAACACATTCACAGGCTGGTATCGAAAGATTTGTCCGCTGTGACGGAGCATGCTATTTTACATAAAAGCACTAAGAATGCTTCACGATTTATTTTTTAACTCATATGTTTCGTTATATCAAAGATAATTACTTACTCCATGCAATGGATATATCATTTGCGTGTAACCTTCACTTCTGTTTGAAGTCCAATAACGCTAGGAGTAAAATATATTGAAAACGGCGCCAGAGTGTCAAACTCTAAAATGTACCATTTCTTTTTTAACTTTTTAATGGCATGATATACAGTGTGTCCCAAAAAAGGAAACCAGCAATAGATTGCTTATTTCTCAAATATGAATAATAATAGGAAAATTTCACAGCTACCATCTGATAGGTTATATTGTCCTCTTTCTTATGATACCAAAGTTGTCTATTTTCCTTCTCGGATGACTGAGTTATAAGGGATTTAAGTGACCATGTCTTTAATCAACCACATCAGTTCATATTTACAGGATATAACTATAATAACTTTAATATATTTACCATACCGATATGCAAAATTGAATTGATCCTGTCATTGATTGCTATGTTAACTAATTCAGAGGGGTAAACGTTTGCATATCGAGAGCAAATATCACAATCCTTGACCAGAAAACTAAGGAACATTTAGTTCATACTGAAGTCATAAAAATACCTGTTGAAGAAAAGTTTAAAAAATGGTAGCCAATACTCATATTATCAAATATAGTTGCAGATGCTAGTACTCATAAAATATGGATTTTTCAGTCTTATATGATGCAGGGTAGACGAAATCCAGTCTAGAAACAGTCGATAAACAGTTTAAAGGGTCTATATCATTCGCAGAGCTGTAAAATAATCCACAAAACACAATAAATAACAATGGTCATGAGGGGAAAACTTTGTATGGTTTCTAATCCTATTCCTCAACCATTAAATCCATAGCCCGGATCCACAGTAAAGGCTAACCTGTTCCACTTAAAATTCTTATACACGCAAGCCTGGTGCCACGATTTGATTAGGTTAAGGGCATGTTAGTTAAAATACTTGGCGGATATTTTGAACTTTTCCATGAAGTTGTCATCAAAATGATAATCTGTATGAATATACAGGGATCGTAAGATCCAAACACCTTGAAACAATGTATAGCTCCTATGTAGCATCAAATTTTGACTACTGCAGTGCCTTGTATGGGTCTGCCTCATTAGCCCTATTAGCAAAACTTGACAAATTGCACTATCAAGCAGGTGTAATATGTGCAGGTGTTCTTCATGGCTCAGATACCTCCAAGGTTTTTCAATGCCTTAACTGGAAAACCCTTAGTCAAAGGAGAAATGAAAAAAATGTTCGGATAATGTTCAAAATAAACAAAAGAAATGTAGCACAATATATATGCGACATATTTGACAAATAAAAAAACCCAGCCACCAGACTACTGAGACATTCTATGCCTTACAATATTCCAACTAATGTTTCTATCAGACTCCTTAAAGCCCCTGTCTTAAATATTATAAAACAATTGAACAACCTTAGCCAACTTATAAGAGAATTACCAACCATCTCTAGTTTTAAAAATGCTGTTCGGTCAACAATTCTCCCAAACATAAATTTCATTCCAACAACCAAGCTAAACTTAACAAGGTCAAATGAGAAGATTTTAAACAGACTTCGTGTCGATTTCTTTTTAAAAGAACACTTTTTCTCTCATAATTTTATTGGTGTAACCGACAACAAGTGTCCATGTGGATCCCCTGAAAATACTAAGCACTTTCTCCTTTCTTGCCCCCGCCATACTGATGATAGGACAAACATGATTACTGCACTTAGACATAACAACCTTCTCTATGATGAGAACATCTTCACCAACCGAAATGATCAAGTCAAACATCTCTTCTATGAAAATACCCTTAGCCGTGATTCACAAAACTTGCTTCTTAACATTGTGCTCAACTTTGTTAGATCATGTTACATTTACGCATTGAGAATCTAAAACTTGCCCAAACCTCCTGGACCAAAATATCCCCAACAACTAAGCAACTAAGCAATTAACAACAAAACTTTTCAATAGTTTTATGCACTTTTTTTTGTTTTATTATTACTTGCTTCTAAACTATATTTATGTTAAAGCGACCTGTAATGCCAAATGGCGATTGGTCTTGCTTTCTTGTACTTTGTAAATTACTATGATTTAAGAATAATAAAAACATTAATAATAATAATAATATACAGGGTGGTCCAAAAAATGGGACACTCATATTTCAAAAGTAAATATTGATTTTCTTGATGAAGACATGACATATTATATATCATCTTTAATTTGGTAAAACATACGTTCAAATTTATTATAATGTCTGTCAACTAGCGTCCATAACGTCATTTTCGTTTCAAAACGGGGTTTCCAAAACTTGCAAAAATCAAGTTTTATTGTCAACTTTATTTACATAAACAGATATTGAATATTTCCAACATTTTAGCCCCAGAATTAAGGGCAACAATTGATCAAAATGGTGGACATATTGAATATCTCTTTATGTAAATAAACTTGATAAAAACTTGGATTTTGCAAGTTTTGGAAAACCCGTTTTGAAATAAAAATGACATCATTTATATTATGGACGCTGGTTGACAGACATTATAATTAATTTGAACTAATGATATACCAAATTAAAGATAAGTGAATTCCCTATCCAATGGTATATACTATGACATGTTTTCATCAAGAAAATCAATATTTATTTTTGAAATACGAGTGTCCCATTTTTTGGACCATCCTGTAGGCGCCACAGTTCAATAATATCTTACACCGCTTGGGGGAATGTAACAGGGATTTTAGTTTCATGACTGTTACCGTCCCAAACATTTTCAGTCACGTTCCCTTGAGAAGTGGAAGATTTCGTTGAACTGAATCATCACGTCAACTATTGTTATTCCCTATTTTTAGCAACTACACCATGCGAAAAGCTATTTATGACTGGCGGTGACTTACAATTAAGCAGAAAAGGCGTTTATACATTGCAAACAGGGACTTTGAATAGTCGTCCCGTGTACGAGCACGAATCTGAGAACTCATATCTGTATTATGGCACAGAAGGCTGGAGCATAGGGGCTTCATCAGGGGCCCCTACCTATGGTGTAATTGCTATAGACCCCGCTTTGCTTCCTTACGCAGTAGTTGAAACATGGGAAGTTTTCAATGGTGTTGAGTTCGTGGATGACCCAGCGTGGACTGTGTCGTGTTTTCAAGGTATAGACAATCTACAGGGTGGTCAAAAATCCTACAACCCTGTAATGTCCTCATATCTATGTCATTGGTGAAAATTCCTCCATTCAATTTCCTATTAACCTACCATATTACATGACCATCATACTGATAGTCACGATTTTACGTACAGCACTTTAAAGAGAAAATCAGATCTAGCGAGCAGCCCAACAAAAAATTGTTTCAACTTTAGAATATTTCTGGCTCAATAAGAAGGGTTACCATTCTTATTATTTGGGAGAATTAAATTTTTTTTACTCATTTTTGCACTTTGAATCCATTATAACTTCACCAATTTATAATATAGCGTGAATCTTTTGGGAGATATTGTATTTAAGATTGTAAGGAATAGATTGGTAGGTCAATTGTCACATTGCTTGTATTTTTTCACCCCCATTGCTCTGATTCTGCCTTTAAACAACATGCCATAGGTGTGGTCATCATCGCGCTTGTGCAAACCTGCACAAGTTGTCTATGACCCATCCACAATCCTCAGTAGGTATTGCTTGAATGACTATTATGATCTCCTTTTTAGTTCTGTAATTGTCCTGTGGTCGTTTTTTGTACAGTTTATCTTTGGCATATTCCACAGGTAGAACTTCGGTATGAACATTTTGTACGACGGGTGCAGGTTTGCCCACAGCGCAATATTGGCATCTTGAGCATGATGTTTAAAGTGCTGTAACATTGTAACTATTCATCTGATGGTCGAAAATATTGTAGGCTGGTAAAAATTAAATGATGACTCATGTATTAAATATCAGGAAGTACTTTTCTAAATGACAAAAATGTGAGGAAAATAGCGGCAGGTTTGCCGTTTTTTTACCATTCTGTATATTAAACGTATTAACTATCTCACCCCTTCGGTTAAATAGTACAAATTTCCATTTTGTAAATGGTCTGTGGATGTGGCATTTACATACGCTTATGGATTAAAAGTCATCGCAGCTTTAACCATACCCTAAGCAAAGTTATGTTATCATATTATAGCTCCCTCTGCTTGTAATACGATCCTTTTCGACGATGATCCCCGTCAACAGTTTCGACAAGGTCTATACTTTCTGGAGGCGGAGACATTTAACGACCGTCCTGTATACCAACACGAATCGGATGTTGAGTTCCTGTTTTACAATGCTGACCTTTATAGATGGTTCATCGGGCCTGAAATCGGGGGAGTTAGAGGTGGAGTATACAGTATCGACCCCTCTCTTACCCCAGAGGCGGTTAGCACAACTTGGTTTGTTGCAGTTGCTGGCGGATCGTGGGTACCTGCTCCAAAATTGAGCGCAAGATGCTATACAGGTACGGGTCGCTTATTAATCCTTAATCAAATTCTCAATCCCAATCAATTAATATTAAGGTTGCGATTTACAAATGTGGTTACCGAATTGTTCTTACTTTTTGAATGTGTTCTTCTCTATCTAAATATCATGATCATCATCATGTCGTTAAATGCGCCATCGGCATTGTTACTTAAAACCTTGGGCTAGGGAACACCCCTTATAGACCTATTTAATATTCATGAGCCTGAAATGTGTCACTTTTATACTAAGTTGGAGCTGAAAACAATTGCCCGAAGTTTTTCCTCGGTGGTTATCCAAGTGCACAACTAAACCGCCAGGGTGTATTCTCCCTCAGTACTAAAAAAGTAATGAATCGAGCAGTGTATGACCATGAGGGTGGAAGGGAATATCTTTACTATAGCAAGCCTGCAAGGGCATGGACTGTGGGCTCTACCCCAGGTTCTTCGTCAGTTGGAATAAAGGGAGATGACACGGCATTGACGCTAGGAGCCTTGAGCAGTAATACCAAGTGGTCCGTGGTGATTGGGGGAAAATGGGCAGCAGCTTCAACGCTTAAAGGAGAGTGTATGTCAGGTAAAGTCCTAAGTTGGGAGATCTGTCTGTGCTTAGAGTGAATTGATGACAGTTCATTAAATAATACTAACAAATGTCTGTAAAATTTGTACATATTTTTTTTGCAAAACAATATAAGATATTTGCTTCTTTACGAGTTGATGAATATATAGCTCAATGTTAATACAAACAAAAAGTTCAAAGAAGCAAACCTAATGTCCTGTTTAAGAAAACCTATTCTTACTATTGAAAAGCAACTACTGTAACTACTGTATACTTTTGTATTGAATAATAATATATAATGAAATTAAACTATTGGAAGTGAATTCTAGCAGTACAATTCAACATGAGTCTACTTATAGACTTGATCCACTTTTGCTCTTTTGAGAAAATGAGAATTTCAGCAGTTACATTGATCTAACATAGGGACATGCATCATTTGCCAATTACATCAGAATACCATCACCTACCCTTGCTGAAATCCCATTATTCTCAGAAGTCAATTGATTGAATCTCAACAAGTATGTTCATGTGGAACAGTATTGCTATAATCCATTTTCAACAGTAATAATAGGGATTCTTAAACAGGACATTAACGCATTACCAAGGCATTTTTGAAATTGTTGGTCTATATCTTAAACAAAAGAGCCATCTGAAATGTTGATATAATAATATTACATTCAGGGCCAAAAATGCTTTTGCGCAAATATACCAGAAATATGCCCGGGCAATATAGTGAAATATAGCAATATATAGTGAAATATCGGCCTTCGGCCCTTGGTCCGAAATTTCACTATGTTTTAAGGTTATTGTTATATTACCATCTTATGCCCAGGACTGAAATAGCACTGAACGAAAATTACACGCACTGAGCGATATCTCATTTTCCGAGGAACAATATCGGGATGAAACATCCATTTTGGCCCCCCATTATGCAAAAATCGTGGAAAGAAAGTAAAAAGTCAGTTTCGATTAAATCGAACTTCACTTTCCATCTTTTAAATCAGCATATCACAGCATTTAACTAAAGTTGTTCTTCGTTGTAGATTCGCAACCATGTGCAACACTTTATATCGGTGGAGTAACTTGGGAGCAAACGGTTAACCCGAACATACTCGGTGTCTACGTCTACACAGGAAGCACTTCTGGAAACAGACCAGTGTACAAAAGCGAAAAGGGGCAAATGTACCTGTACTATTTACCACAGTATGGCCTCTGGGTGTTTTATACAACAGTTGGTGTGGCACGATGTTACATCAAAATCGCAGATACGGCCCTTCATCCAGAGGATATCACAGCGTCTTTGCAGGAATGTTCCCAGACAACACTATCAGGGATGAATTCTATAGCACCATTTTGTTTCGATGGTATGTTTTATGTGCCCTAAGTTTGTATCATATATTACTTAGGTTTTTGTGCACATTAAACATTCACACTCAATATACCCCAGGTTTTCCGCTTGGAGTGCTGTATTGTCATTCTGCCGGTGGACGTGCGCGCATCTGTCTGTTTCGGCGGTTAGATGAAGCTAATTTTTATTAGAGACTTTAAGCTAGCAATGTTTTTGACAATGTAATCTCGAATGGAAAGTACATGAATCAATATAGTTATTAAGAGTATAGCGTGCATACAAAACAAGGGCTTATTAGTCTACTTCAGATACACGTTCAGGTTCAGAGTTTCGTGTTTAGAACGGGAAATTTGCAATTTCACGTTGGTCTCAACGGGAATCATTATACTCGTGTCTATTGCCTTACTTTACCGGTAATTTTGTTTTCAATACGCTGTATAATTATTTCTAAAGAAGATGATGTATTCCATGTACGAGGGTATATCATAAAGTTCTCATAATATCTCTCTAATTTTTTTATTTTTCAATATATTCTGATGAATTTTTCACAGAATGGGTAGTATAGAATGCTGTATTGATCTATCAAAAAATATTTGGTATAACAGTAACATTATTTAAGAAATGGTTGCCATAGTAACCGGAAATCAAGGCACCCGGGGCAAATAAAAAATCGTGCAGGAATAGTCCCAACTAACCTTGTTTAAATGCATAATAAGTTATCAAATAAGCTATGAAACACATCAAATTGTTGAATACCATGTATTCTTGACTGTTTTAAACTATTATAATGGTAGTGTGAATTGTGTGATCTCATAATGGATGATTGTAATGCTTCATTAGAAGTGATGTTAGACACTACAACTGTTTTGTCAAGTATTCAAAAGAAAGTTTCCACTTTAGTTCATCTTAAATAAATAATAGACCCCGCATAGGGTGTGATTATGTTGATATCTTTGCAACATATTTGTTTTAGATCACCTTTAGTATGAGCAAAGGATTTTTCGAACTAAACTAAACTTTTTATCAGTGTGAATATTATTTTTCTGATGATCCCTGCATCTATGCATTATCTTACTCAGTCATTTCTGATCATTAAGCTTTGATTCTCAGAGTCTGGTATCACATCAAATGAAGCATGTAAGCATCCCCTATGACACCATACAATCCACATGATCAATTTATTTTATAGTAAAAGCATTTAACAACAATTCAAGTTAACATTTTAATGTGTTTGGTAATTTATGTGAGTTTATTATATATGTAAACAAGGATAATTTAGCTCATTTTCTCAATTATTTTTATTTGCCCCGGGTGCCTTGATTTCTGGTTACTATGGCAACTATTACTTATTTAATATTTCTGTTGTACCAAATATTTTTTAATCGATTAATAAAGTATTCTATACTGCAGATTCTATGAAAATTTCATTGGAATATATTGAAGAATAAAAAAATTAGAGAGATATTATGAGAACTTTATGATATACCCTCGTATGCTCCGGTTTATTGGCCGGCGCCCGCCCGATTGCAGTATTTTGTTCATAACTGATTTCAAATTGCTTCAAATTGACACTGTTATATACATTTGTATATGGGTTGTTTATACGTGCATGTTGCCGATTCGATTGATATGCAAGCTTAAAGTCGCCAGTATATATTCAAAGTCAATTTGTTACAGACGCTGCTGAGTAGTGCAAAGATAAGATTAGGTTTTTGGCATACTGGGTTTATTAATTGGCATCCATTTCCGGTAGAAAAACTGTCATTTAATCACTGTGTCTATTTATACGAATTTAGAACTCATTATTTATACCCTGACTTTTGATTAAAATAGCTGTGTATGTATGCATAATGAATGAATAATGAATGTACATAAATAACACAGCACTTAGAGTAAAGTTGGACCTGGTCTGTCTTCCATCCGTAAATAAAACACCAAAATCCGAGACATTCTCAAAATTTACAACTCCCTCCATTTGGTGCTAAACAAAGTAAATACAATACAACACAATACAATACAATACAAAACAATACAATACAATACAATACAATACAACACAATACAATGTAATACTATTCAAACCAAACAATACATAACACACAGTCAAATACACAGAAGTGAAACTATTATATTCACTTCAATACTGTTTTGTTTCTTATCATTTTAGAGCCAAACACTGATTCGTGTGACAGCCTTCAAGTGACCGGGTTCAGTGTGCCCCATGCCCAATACAATGGTCGCTATACAAGAACTGGAACTGTCGTCAACTACAGGGCATCGTACAAGCAAACGGGACGCAACTTGTATCTGTACTACAAATTTGGCCTATGGCTTATTGGTGATACTTTGGATAGTGGCGTGGCCGGTGTAAAGGGGGAAACAATTGAAATCTATCCGCAAAGAGCGACGAAGTGGGAAAAATATTTTTCCGGTTGGAAAGTTGAATCAACCGCTAAAGTAACTTGCTGATTGGGTAAGAATCGCATACCAACAAAGTATAAAGTTTTTTAAATGTTGTTTTCTTGATTTTTTTCTTAAGGATTACTACAAATACTGTGTACACAGTATATAAATTTGAGACCTCTTGAATACATCCCTGAAATACTATATTCCACTTTGCAGGATAACGCTTCTACTCATTTTGATTATTTTCATTGCAACATTGCTTCTTTAAACATGACAGTAAAAACTCTAACCTTGAGTTGATACTGGACATGGAGCATTATTGTCAATTTATTAGCATGTTCCGAATGATACAATTTTGACAGTTTGAGTCTCAAAAATTGAATCTATTAGATTTTCATTTGCCCCCCCCCCTTTAGCTAAGCTGTATATAGCAATACCTATGTCAGCTGAAGTAAAAAAAACAGTGGTCTCGAGTGAAATATAAAACACTTGTGCAATAAACACCATTATTACCACCTTTTCGGGCCTGTTTTAGGGTTATCAGTGCTAGTTTAGAAGGCATTAATTTTACTTTTTATTGATCTGAGCAATATATGCCTTCGGCCCTCGCTCCAATAGTTCACTATATAAACTGATATTTTTTGTATTTTGCAGAATGAATGGATTATTTGGGATGTAAGGCAGTAAGCTATAGTATCAACAGTGTGCAGAATTAACTTCAAAATAAAATGTACTTCCCATTCTGGACAAATAAAATGTAGAAAGAAAAATTGATGCGCACGTGGTGCAAGACAAGTTTTTATATGCTATATTTGCCCATTGTATTGTCCATTTGCATACTTATAAGAGTCTATAAGTATACGTGGTGCAATATTAGAAGAGTATAGCACCAGATGTGTTATTCTCAGAACATAGAGATATTTATTCAAGATGCACACCCTCTGTTAACAACAGTTTTGACTGATAAAAAGTAACTGTCGTTTTTGATAGTCGTATCATTTGATTCAAAGTAATCACACGACGCTTACGAATTCCAAACTACCAACTGGGGTGCCTTATTTTACAGTATTGTATTCAAAATTTGATAAAATCAAATCTCACATATACGTCATCGTTTTTTAGCTCAGTGTAAGAAGGCACACTTTTTCGTATCGTATCAAAACAAAAGTAATGGGGATTAGATTACAATTTGTAAAATTGTACTTGACAGAGGTTATATGTAACAATATATTATAAGCATCCCCCTACAGACGGAGTTACGTACGGCCGACATTATATTTATCCAGACCTTTAAGAAGAATGGCTAGTTATCCAAGACCAACGTAGTCACTTGATCGACATAATGATGTATATTATTAGAATGTTTCTAAACAAGGACCTTCTTAAACACGAAATCATATATTCATTCTACAGCATATCGATGTGGAAATATACACTTCTTAATATATATAAATATTTGCAAACTATTAACTTTTTAATGAATTTTAAATATTGCAAAGATGCAAAGGAAAATACCAAATTGTATGATGGTTAGTATTAGAATGGTCCATAGGCAATGCAATTTGGTATATGATATATAACATGTACATGTACATGTCAATGTAAATTGATTTGTTTGGAAACCAAATGTTTGGCTAAAGCACACTAAATCTTGATGTTTATTTGACCAATAAGCTTGTGACAAGTTTGTAAAAGACATACAGAATATCAATAATAAATGTTTTTAAATATGCTTGTTTGAATATCTCATAAAATGTAATAAATGTAGTAAAATTAGTAAAACAGTTGTTTGACTTCAACTCCATCCCTGCTAAACTGTAATTCCTTTAGAATTCTTCTTCCATTCCATTTTCCTAAAATTGTATTCAATGGTAGCATTGGTCACCCTCACTCAAAAGTAACGTAAATTCTTCTAAACTATGGACAGAATTGATTTTGGATACAGACATCAACGATACAGAAAATCAATGTAATAGACCTGACACACCCAGACAAGCTTTTCTAAAATTATTGATATATGCCAAAAACTTATTGCTGGAACAAAAATGATAAAGGTCTCATTGAGTAGCTCTGATATTTGATTTTGATTGTTGATTCCAATTTGTCAATGCTTACATAATGTGTAACCAATTTCTTGTTATATTTATAAGACATATCGATGATACGCTTGTGCTGCTTTGAATAAGCTTTAAATAAATTTAGTAAATCCATAGCTGAGAAAATACTTGTCTAAAACCGATCCATTTTTGGGACACACAATATATCATTCCTAGACATTCGCAATAACCATATATCATTTTGGATACGAAGTTTTGCTAGCTGTACATCGTTTGCATATTGATTATCCCATCCAACGAAGTTTGGAGGGATATAGGGAACGACTCGGTCCGATCATCTGTCTGCCTGGGTGATAAATCAAACACCGTTTGTCCGAATTTGATCATATTTTGTCCCACATGCCCTATGGGCTTAAAAGTTCTGCTCGAAAGCCGATTTTAAAAATGGTCCCTCATTCAAAGATGGCGATCAGTTTAGTACCGATGTTAGTGAGATCTAGGTACAAATAACAATTTGTTTTAAAATGTAAAATTTGTAAATGTAAAAAAATATAATATGACATTAGTAAAGCTAGAATAGATATTTGGGAGACACATGGCAGTCATTTTGAAAAATTGCGGCCTTTACGAGCTATTTTTCTATGTTTGCTGTTACTTGGAAAAAAGTGGAGAGGTTTTGTTCGTATTTGATATGCGTGTACTAATAAGCATGGCGCGTTGTTTCATAACACTTTGTCTAGAAGGCTGTTATTTTGAAAATGGCTGCCATTTTTACAAGTTCAAGCGAAATTCTAACAAAATGTAGCCGAGTTTTTTCGTCAGTTTACACATATATTTTAAATATCTTTTATGTTGATTAGATCATGTTTTTAAAGGAAACGCCAATTTTGTTCTTATGTTTGAAATTCTTTTGAAAAAATGTTTTCATGTGCCATATTGCTATGATGTGACCACTGTACTGGTACAGATCTCCCAGGAGCACAATTTCCAACGTGGTATTTTGATCAGGAATGGCGTACCATGGTTCCTAGCCAAGATGACATACATATTCCTATATAGGTTTCTGAAATTATAACAAACAATACGTGAAACACAATAGAACGGGGAGGTTAAATAACACGTTTTTAAAATAACCTGTACGTGAGCGTATAACATCTCGACCCCCGGGAGTACTCTCAGGCTTTCATTTCACTTTCCCAGGGACCTAATTACAATTATTTCCCGTATACGTTTACACTAAATCGTTCAAATAAACACTACAAATGCGGACTTATCCACAAAGAAGCATAATTCTACTTATTCATGTACAAGTTTTAAAAAACGTGTAACTTAACCTACCTACTGTCTGACTACACCAGTGAGTCGGTGATATCAATTAAAAAACTTGTAAATCCATTATTATTTGACGTAATCATAAAATGGTATTAACAACAACCATTATCGTTAACATTGTTAGAATCATTCATACATACTTATTAAAAATTGATTAAATAAATACAGATTAAAAGCAAATAATCACGAACGTTTCATGTTAAATTGATATGATATCAGCAACGAATATTATACTCCAACAATATATGAATATATGCATTTTGCCAATGGCTCCATTCGACCGTGACAGATTAACAGCACGTCGATCCTATTCTGCTTATTCAGATATTCGACAAATAGGTGAGTTTGTTTTTTAGTATGGATAAATTCTTAGTCTGAAATCAAAATGTCAATGTACGTCTAAGTCTGCACTTATCACAAATTATGTTATGACTTGATTCTAATATTTAGCGTAAGCTGTCTTTAATTCGATTGTTTGTCAAGTGTAATTAATCATCTTTAATTGCTGTATTGTTAACTGTTATAATACCAATGGTTTATAACAAAACAAATCAAATTGCCTTAGAAAGGGTAATCTACACAATGAAGAAATATTTTCTCAGGGTGACTATTCCGAAATTGAACACTGCTTATTTCTCGTTTCTTTAAGTATATCTTTCAATAAATGCTTCGCTTAGATAAGAGTCATTAGGGATATGCACAGGGTAACGTTTACATTTTATGTAATCGTTTCGGTAATAGTTGGTTTGTAAAATATCAGAAATGTATTGCATAAAAATATTCATTTATATCCGTCCAGCATAGGCCCATTTTTATACTATCTTTTAAGCAAATACATCACAAATTTATATCGACATGTCATATCTCAATGCATCAGGTGATACAACCACACGTGCACTAGACAGTAGTTTGAACTTCCACTGATTCTGCATGCTACATGCCTTGGTCACATACATGTATGCTCCGAAACATCTGCCGGGGCTCGGCCGATTGAGTGTTTTATTCAATATTGTATTCAATTTGAACAAAATACTCAATCGGCCGGACGCCGTAGTGAAAATCGGAGCAAATGTGACCAAGGCATAAGTATGATTTCTCCATTATGACATGTACACGATGTAATCCTCTGATTCATATGAAAAAATAACACCGTGGTTCTTCTTCTCTGTGGTTCTTTTTCTTTGGAATTACAGTCAATGTTTTGTCGATATCAAAATTGACAATTGGTAATTTCAGCTTTTTTCTTTAACAGGGCCAAGGTTTTCCAAGATGTATTATTTAAAATGTACATTTTTTTAAATTTTAGATTTTGATCACATTAATGAAGAACTTGGGTAAGTATGCCTTAGCCTATATAAAACCACAAGTTATAGTTGTCAAAAGTATAACAGATACACATCAAATTATGATATGGGTTATTAATCTGCTAATTAATCAAGAATTGATATTTTATTGATAGACTGATACAGTAGTTCAACTGTTTTTTGTCTCGACAAAAGTGATATAGAATTGATTAATAAGTACTTGATTAAACTGCACTGACGCCATTTATGGAAAACAAAAATCCCATGGTTGGTAAATATGAAACTCACAATTAGTATTTGGAAAAGATTAAAGGAATATGTCTCTCTAATGAATGCACATTGGGTTATATTAAACTTTGAAACGGCATACAAATACCCGTGTTAATGTAATTTATCAGTACTACATGCATGTAGTATGTATACTTGCTAAAATAACAATTCAATGTCCACCAAAATATCTTTTATATCCATACAATCTTTAAATTGACTAAAATGTCCCATTACTAGACTATCGAGAACTCAAAGTGAGCTTTTAATGATAGAACTCCAAAGTATTAAAAGTAATAGAATGATTTATTTGTTTCTTTACTTCTGAAGTGGAAGATGTAGCTTTTGACATCACGCGAGATAAAATGTTGGTTAATCTATAATTTGGTAACTCTTTACATAATAAGCGTTTGCTTATTCATTTTGCTTGAACCCCGTAAGCTTTAAAACATTTTGTGTCACTTATTTTGCTAATCTAATTACTATATTTAATTGTATAAAACATTATCGTATGATCTGTAAAATGAAGCCTTCTGATTGGTCAGTTCTTGTGCTGTACCAATATGTATTGCTACTGAGATTGTCCCCATTGATCTTCTCCGTCGCAATACAGAAAACATTGTTACGGAGGGGACATTCTCAGTAGCAATACAGATGATCACACGATAAAAAACGTTATAGAATGATTTGAAGTGCAATACAGGATATATCATGCTCTCGATATTATGTATTTGCACTCGACTTTGTCTCGTTCCAATGCGGAATTTTTCGAGCAGAATATATGCAGCATTGCACTTAAAATCGTTCACGATAATAGTCTCTTATTTTGATGCTACCTTCATTTTGGGAACTTTTCTTAACTCAACTTTTCTTTAACTTTTATTTCAGCCATATACAGCATCTTGCTTCTCTGCGGGATTGTTCATGGAAATGTATTTACCGGTAAGATTATATTATGTAATTACGCGTGTTGACAATGTGTTCAACTAATGGCCATCTGCATTTTTATTCTACTACCCCGACACACGATTTGAGTATTCTTAAATTTTGGCAATACGTTTTTGGAGTATGATCAGCTATTTTTGTGGTTTGTTTTTCTTCTTCAAATTCTCAGGAACATAAAATATCATCATTGACTGATGATCGAAATACTAGTAACCAATATGATAGAAATGCCCACACTGTTCACGATAAAGATAATTTACACTATATAAACTACACTAACCTAGACTATATAAACGTGTATATCCAGTGATGTATTTAAGTAGTGTGAGTCTGAGACTATGCCATCTTTTTGTTGGTTGAAGGACGGCAATATAAGATTAAGAATTATTTTTCTATCTCAAAATGGAGAACAATAAAAGGTCAAACTGGAAATAATCCTTGTGTAACGTATTTAGGATTAGGTAACATGTGATTTTAAGCTTTAATGATTCCAGATATGCTCAGTTATTTCACATCATGGGGTACAACTAGGGCTGGGCGTGTGAGGCGAGACGATGGACGAAACACAGGGGAAATTCCGACAGTTCCCGACATCCTTATTATAAGCGAACAGACACAAGATAAGCTGAAGGTGTATAGCGCATCTGTTCCAAAGATATCATACGTCCAACTTGTAGATGACACGGAGGAACTAAAGAAATGGGTTGTGAATTGTGGCGTATGTATTCGTTTATATATTTGTTCTAAATGACAGTTTTGCAATTGATAAGAACATCGATGGGACAGTTGGTTGATTTGTTTCCCATTATGTAACTATTTATTAATGATTATCTATCTTATATGTATTTTTGTTGATTTTCGGATTTTTCAAATCAATGAACACTGTGCTTTTCATACAAAAGAAGATATCTATATATACAAATTACTCGGTAAATTTGACAGAGCAAATGATATCAAGGCAGAATCAGATCTAGCAATTTCTTTGTTGTTTCATCTCGACGGAAATTGATTCAATTTTTTAAATATTTTGGGGTCATATCATTCCTTGTCATGTCTATTTTCTAAAACTTCTTCAAATATATACTTTATTTGAGGAAAACTAAAGAGTTTTACAATGATACCATCATTTTTCTATAAGAATGGTTACCATTGTATGATCTGGGAGAATTTAAATAGTTTCCCCTCCTCCTTTTTGCACTCTGAATCTCAAATAATGTAAACAATTGATAACACATCACGGATCTTTCGGAAGATATTTATATTTGAGCTTGTAAGGATTACATTCAATTTGGAAGATCAGTTGTACATATTGCTTGCAACTTTGTCAGTCTCTATAGATCTGTTTCTGCCTTTGACACACGACAAAAGAAATAATCGTAATTAGCACCATACTTTTCGCAGAACAAGGTGAGATTGTTGGCCTCGTTGACGCCACCTGGCGAACTAAAAACGGTCCTAGCTGGACTAGCTAAAAGATTCAGTTCTTTGGACAACAAACTTAAAGGGATACGGAAGAGTGTAGCGTCATTACAAGCCATACAGGCGCTACTGTTTCAGCTGAGTCAACAGTTAGGACCCATGCGTGAAACGTTGAATGCAATAGGTATACTCCCCTTCATAAGTTTTGCAACTGGATGTCCCCTTTTTGAGAAAGTAATAAAGTCTTGTTATTTTCGGGATAATGGGGTAGTTAACTCATGATTCGCAATAACTTGCCTAAATCATATGTCACCAGGAGTAATATTTTTGTAATACTTTCTAGAATGTGTATTTTATTAAAGTAGGTCATTGTGTCCTTTGAGACATTATTTTTTAGAATAACTGGATATATACATGTGTCAGTATGCTATATCATTCTTCAGGATATTGGGGATTTGGTTGTACTTTTAAATGTGAGTCATTATTCGAAATCATCTTAATCATCCACATGCTATTATATTATTTTAGCTAAGTCGAATACGGCTATATCATCGGAACTCCTCCAGGGCGTTGACATAGTGGAGAACTGTACTGCAGAGTTGTATTATTCTCCAAAGCCAGATCCCGCCGACACAGACTTCTGTCTTGAATCAGCCAAGAATTTATCAGTAAGTTTGATGTAATATATCGTTTGCTTCTTATCTCGACGACGTCCGTTTCGTCCTATTATAACTGTGTGTATGTGTCGTGGGGAGTACATCAGTAACTATAGATACGTTCCATGTAAAGCTGGACCTCGGGAAAGAGTTCATTTATGAAGTCTAAGTATTTCTTTACAAGCTTGTTTTGACGATTTCAAAACATTTATTATCATAAATTCCCAAATCATTAGATTTAGATATGCTTCGTATGCTATCAAAATGTACACAGAAGCTTGTATCATATGTGTTTACGTTGTAGGTTGTGCTATTTGAATATCTTAACGTTACATCGGTCCCCGATGAACTACAAACACTGAACACACTTTTGGAGAATATTGCAATAATAAATGACCAAGTGGTCGAAGCTCTGGAAGTCACACTCGTAAAGGCTATAAAGAGATCAATTAAGCTTAGCAGTCAGAAGAAACTGGGTTCATTGAGTAATAAACTTGAGAAAGATATACTGAGATTGCAAAACGAAGCTGTGCTCAGTAAGAATAAGTATTATATTTATTATTGGAGAGTTTTCAGTATAAGTTTAATTTTCAGTCTTAAAGTTAAATGGAATTGAAAGTATAGGTGCGGAAATAATGAATGTGGTCCACTTTGTGAAAACGAGACATACGCATCCAGTACAAAAAGTCGCAAAAATTGTTCATGAAGAAATGTAAAACATTGCACGCAAAAAGTGTTCATGTAGAAATATAAAACATGATACTAAATGTCTAAAAATGTTTCCAGTGGGTTTCACACCGTGTACAATACCATTACCTGCACCACGGAATGGAAGTATCATCATGGCGGAAGATGGCAGCGTTGGGTCGTTCACGGTCTTCGATTGTAACGAAGGATTTAGCTTGAATGGTTCCCAAGTGAGACAGTGTGCAGGAAATGAAACATGGACGGGGGATGAAACGCGATGCTTCTGGAACCCAGTCGGTATGTATTGTTTACATATACAAGTATATTTTGTGAGTGTATCCTCGTAAATAATTTTTTATTTTCTGAAATGAAGGACTATTTACAGGGATGCTATTCAATTATGTGATAACTATTCACGGAAATTTAACTTAAAGAATGGGGACCTAATATATATTACCGAATATTTTCAATGAAATAAAAGAGGTTGATTTTAATTGAAATTGCAACTTTCTTACAGGCATTGACGAATGCGAAAGTAACCCATGTACGAATAACGGCACATGTGTGGATAGACACGATGCATTTGAATGTGTTTGCCTACCTGGGTATGAAGGTGCTACCTGCAATATAGGTAATCTGATATAGCTACAGTTGAGTGTTTTGAACTGCTGCATCAAAGAATGTTGTCGCATGCAAATCGGTCAGCAAAGATATATAATTTATTTCGATTTTAGTTGTAATTGTGTAGTTTTGAAATTTCTAGTAACCGCATATTACATAATATTGCATAACATTTGAATATTTGTTTATTGGCAAAATATGATACCAAAAGAAAACAGACACATTCCTCTTATTACATGTATCTCTTTAATTGAATTAGATGTTGTTGTTTTCATTTAGATACAAACGAGTGCTTGAGTAACCCATGTCAGAACGGAGCGGAATGCATTGACAACATGAATTTCTTTACCTGCAACTGTAGCGCTGGATACCGTGGTATACTCTGTCAATTCGGTAAGAACGAGGGGTAATGAGTTCGATCCCAACCTGAGTTGACTGGTTTTAATATCATTCATTGTCATATATTTACTCTAATGATTGATTGATCAGCAGATAATCTGATGAATGTGTGATTTTCAAGATTTTACTGAGGTCTTGGAACGACTCGTGCGTATTGGCTTGTTGCATTATTGTAGATTTTGGACTTGTAATAAAATGGATATAAGGATCGAGATTAAGAAAGATTCATAGTTTTAGCTGTGGATTTCTTATCATGATTTCTGTGATTTAGATATAAACGAATGTGCTAGCAATCCGTGCCAAAACAAGGCAGTGTGTGAAGAAGGCATTGACTTGTATACGTGTACATGCGAACCTGGCTACACCGGAGTGAACTGCGAAATGGGTAAGTTGATAAATCTATAACTTTTTTTTTTTTTTTTAATTTTTTTATTTCAAAGAATAAGCATGTTAAAGCAATTGCAAAAAACAATTACAGTACAGTTACATGGTAAACCTACATTTAACAATTTTACAATACAGTACAGTGGTTAAATATTTCGTCTTAAGAGACGTTATACCATTGGCATTTTTTTATTTATTTAAAGGAAAAAATCATCAGTTTCATTTGTTTAATTTTGGTTCCATGATTTTCCACTCATCGCCTCTGCCAACCCGTTTGTCCATAATAAAATATTCCTTCACATTACTTATAAAACCTTTAAGTGTTGGTTTTAGCATAGAATATTTGCACAAATAAACATACCTTTTAAAAATACATAGCATATTATTTAAGATGATACCCACGCAATGCTAAAATAATGAATTATCATTTAATCATCAAATGTTTATTGAATCTTAAATGTCGTAATGTTAATGTCACCGAGAAAAATCATCAAAAATGAAATTTCAAATTAAATAAATTATTGCATTGCTTAATCTATACCTTTACATAACTTCAAACTTTATTTCACAGAGATCGATGAATGTGTTCCAAATCCATGTATGAACAATGGAACATGCACCGATTTTGTGAATAGATTCAAATGCGACTGCGCTCAGGGCTGGGCTGGGTTAAATTGTGAGCTAGGTAAGTCTACTATTGTTAAGTATTTGATCATCAAAATATAACTCATTTATGTCATGTCCTTTGAGATATTTAGTTTAATTACGCATTCAGTAAAGTGCTGATAGTTTAGAATATACATTTCTGATTGTAACAGCATTGCGCACACGTACATCAATTTTTAATTTTTAAAATTCAATTTGTTTTTCATGGCTTCGATCTTTTTTCCGTCTGCATTTTTAGCTTGGAATAACACGTGCAAGCCTCTATTCGCGCCACGCCATGGGCGGATAATCCAAGATGGCGGTGGGAGGTTAAACTCCGAGTACATATTTGAATGTGACCAAGGGTGGACAATGATAGGTTCTCCAGTCAGACGTTGCTCAATCACAAGCAGGTCGGCTGGATTTTATACAGGGATACAACCGTATTGCTACAAATTTCCAGAAGGATACGGTATATCTAAATACTTTTGCTTTTTACTGCCTTCCTTATATCTCTCATATAAAACATACAGTTCGTTCCCACTGTTATTACCGCGGTGTTTTATTTTAAGTCTTGGAAAGCGACGTCTTACTAACTTTATAAATTATCTTTATATGTACACAAATGATATACAAAAAAATATTTGTTACTACTTATTGGACACCTAGCGTGTTTTTTCTGAAATAAATAATCAATATGCGTTCAATTTGACTCATAAAATTTAACAAAAATATAGTATATTATTTATCACGTGGTCTTACCTCGTAGGTGTTACGTGTCCTGTCTGGGATGATGAGCCAGAAGAAAAATATTTATTTAGGGATGCTTTAGACTGCAAGTACTTTTACAAATGCACATATGACGGCAGTGCCATCTTTCGATTTAACTGCCCAGCTAATTTACACTGGGATGATGAGCTAAAGGTCTGTAATTGGAAATGGGCGGCAGAGTGTACCCCGATTGAAATAACATAATAAACATATTCAATATGAGTATTGGGAGACTTATATAATTGACGACGTGAGATCATCGTGTTTAGAAAGCCAATCTCAGAAATGACATAAGAATAATGTTCATCAACTGACAAACAATTTGTAGAATAAATACTTGATAAAGTATCACTAATTTTTCATTGGTTCATTTATTCTTTCATTATTCATTAAACTATGTTCAAATGATAATATGTATGGTGTTCAAACTGTATCAAAATTCGACATCTTTTATTTACGTGAGTCGAACATATGTTTATACAACACACACGTCCGTATTTGCTTTCACAAACTATAATGTAAAAATGGCACACCATTATATAACTGACATTAATTGGTTTCTAGGGATGTCACGTAACTTCAAATCTTGCTCCCTGCGTGAGGTGTTTTTTTGTGTATGACATTTTACTTGAGCGGAAAAATTTGAATTTGACCTCCACGAGTCTGTGAAATCGACATGTTCGTTCGAAATTTACTTTGATCGCTGTTTAATTCGTTCAATGTTGTAATATACTTATTATGCACCATTCGTGTAACATTTAAACATTTTTGGCAATTTGTGGGGCAAAGTTGTCAAAGTGACCCCCTTGAAAAATCCTGGCCACGGGCCTGTTATGATGCGACTATATCCAATCATTTAATTAAAATCTCGCATCATATGGTCCGACTTCCCATATGTATTGGGCCTCATCTATTAGAAATAGGGCCTAATTTGAAAAACTGGCCTGCATTAAATTGTTGCCAATCAGTCAACATTACATAAAGGACCGTGTTTCTTTACAGAATGTTTTCAATAATTGGTTTAAGAGAAAACAGTGCTGAATTCAGTTCACCATATTGATATCTATCCTTTGCCAAGCTACATCAAGAGAGTTTGAGAAGCGATGTAAAGAAAATCATGAAAGACATGAATAGCCGATACATTGTAAGCCTTGCTCAAGGCGATATTAACTTTTATTTATATTGAAAAATCAAATTAAATCAAAATCAACAAAAACAAAATACACCGAGGCAAGGCTAATTAAGTCAAAACCGGGGTCACCACATTGTGGTTCAAACATTGATGGGCTTTGATTTTCTATTCAATAAAAACGTTCGGTTGCCAAACTTATAGAGGGGAGTGTAGCCGAATACAGATACTGTTCACCAATGAAATGATAGAGAGATTATTGAGAGCATGTGCATGATTTTATATTGTCAAACTTATAGAGGGGAGTGTAGCCGAATACAGATACTGTTCACCAATGAAATGATAGAGAGATTATTGAGAGCCTGCACATGATTTTATTTTTGCAGACGAAAAATTCTTTGATTGAATGTTTATGTCATACTTAACGGTTATAAATGTTTTATGCAGTTACGTCTTAACTAGATATTTCATGTCATGATTGAATGTTTAAGGAATAAATAATGATAGACCATTCAATATGGTGAAATTCAGCACGAGTTGGACAGAATGTTGTACAAAGCACGAACCGAAGGTGAGTGCATTTGTACTAACATTCTGTCCAACGAGTGCTGAATTTAACCATATTGAATGGCCTATCATTATTTATTCCGATTCAAACATAAAAATTAGTAAAAGCCGTGTCTGTGGAACGGGCATGAAGGAAGAATACGAACAGCTATCCCCGGACAGAGCCCCAGATGTGCAGCTGAGATGTGACGTCACTCAAAACAATGCAAATTGCAGATGGAATAGAGCATGGTCGTGCATCTATGGAGAATTAGAGAACGTTCTATATTGGCTATGCTGCATTCTGATTGGTTGAGAAATTCGAATAGAGCACGGTCATGTTTGAATCGGTTTTATTTAGATTCATAGATGAAGTTTTTTGACCTTTTGTCCTTCTCGAACTGTATTAATCACAACGATTGTGCAAGCCACGCGTATAACCACGCTTATTAGTACTGAGTGAACGTGATCTGATTAATTATTTCAATGCGCCAAAATTATGAAAATATAGCTTATTTTCTCTTTCCATTATATTGACCGCTATGAACATCATTATTAGTTGTTTTCACTCATATACGCTTATAGTAGCCGACTGCCCCTTTTCATTTCTTTGAGACGCAATTGAAATTTCATATTAGCATTAACGTTCAAAATTTGTTTCTCTATATCTCGCGATGTTTTATTTCCCGATGGATCTTCAATATTATGCCAAACATGTACTTTCTGTACAGCCTTGCTTTGTGACTACTATGAATTATCATTTGCAAGAGCTCATTTTTGAGTTGATCACTTTTCCTCGATCAAAATTGTAAACTTCGACTCCAACTTTAAAATAGGGCTAATCAATCAAAATACATTTACATTGTGTTAACCCAAGCAAATAATTATAACAACTAGATTATTTTTTAGCAGTTCTGACACCTAAGCAATGTAGCCTCGTGGCGTAGAGACTAGAGACTAATCGTGATCGAACGTAGTGGGATACGGAGGTCCCGCGTTCGAGCCGCAGGTACGGAGAATTTTTGATTATTGCACTACAGGACAACCGGTATAATTATTACATTTTTGAGCAACGTTGACACCCGAGCAGTGTAGCCTGGGTGGTTAGTGACTGTGGTCGTGCGTACCGAGGGATACAAGGTCCCGCGTTCGAGCCTCGGGTACGGCGTTCTTGATAATAGTTCTACAGGGCACTCGGCTCGAAGGTCCAACCGTTTACCGGCCCTTGGCATGGGTCGGTTCTCTGACTGCTCTTGTCGGAGACAGATTGTGAGACTGTGGTTGGTTCCTCCACTTATGGGCTATAGTAGACGCCGGGAGTCATACAGTATGGTAGTGGGCCCCCACCAAGGGCAGTAGTGGAACGACGCGAATCGGTCCCAGTATGGTTGCCTTGCAACTGAAGCGACTCGAGGAAACCATGCCATTCACGGTGACCCAGAAAAGACTTTTGCTTCTTGATTTAACTTATTTTGTTATAGCAATTAAAACTTAAACAAATTGATTTCAACGATGGGCACTTATGTATTGTGCAATCCGTTCAAAACAAGAAAGATGAAAGCCCTCCAGTCAATGTCAATGTTTAAGCAATGTAGGTCCGATTTAGAATAAAGTCTTTTTTTATTCTAGGTCCAAATAATGGACCAATTTACCAAATTATTCAGCTTCGTTCACAAAGTAGTGCACCCGTCGGTCGAAGTAAAGACTGAACGCTTGAAGAAAAGATGGAAATGCACAGGATGATATATTCAGACGATATTGCAGAAGACGGCAGTGCTTTTTATTGGACAAATGAATGAAGGAGACATCTATATTTGATCCAATCCTTATTTTCCATAGGCCTACAGACACAATTGCACCTGCCACGACATCTATATTTTCCTTCATTCTGTGAGATATTTTTTTTTACATCTGGTTCACCGTGCAAAACTTATTTATGTCAATGGATATTACAAAGCATAGGCGAAGTCAGGAGGGGGGGGGGGGTGATCGCTCCCCCCTCTCTCCATAACCATGCAATGATAATATAAGACTGCTTTTTATTTGAAGCTTCTAGCTCAATTTTGAAGGAAGTTGCATCAATTTTTGTAAAATTCAAAACGAATCTTAATCATTTTTGGGTTACTTATGCCACGAAATTATTTACGTCAAGTATTTTCACCGTGCAACTCTGACTGAAAACCGAAATTTTTGGGCGATCGCACCCCCCCCCCCGACTGAAAGCTGGCTAAGCCCCCGTATGCTGTTCATAAAGTTCTCTACACTTTTTATAGACTTTGTATTGGAGTTATAAGGAGGCTATAAGGTAACAAAGAATGGAGGCTTATTTTTTAATGTACATATATGTCTGTACAATAGTGATTCTCATCCACTGAGATTCAGGATGTGAACTTACTGCGCAATAGTAAATGAATTACTACCGGTAAACAAGTACAATGAAAAGTACAAAAATAACTAATGGTGGAAGGGCACAGTTACTCCGCGTTGGGTAACTTTGTGAATACTACATTAATAATCTCTGTACCAACTCCCGCAAATCTAGCATGAATCCCCCGAGACATTCGGAAAAGCATTGACATGAAAGTTCTTTTTTGGTGTATATTCAATATTGATTCTCGTCTACCGAGAGCTTACACACACGGGAGCAGGATTTAGCATGCGCGAACTGACTGCTTCTTATTGTCCTGGCTAGCGCCGTTATTGGGTTTAACGACGTTAAACTACCTTAAACTCCATATATAGTCCCTGATCTGATTTTCCTAAGAGCTCTAGATAAGGAGTTTGTTGTCCGGAAGTCTTATTCATAAAGCCAGCGTAGGACTAAACGTCAAGGTATCGTATTACGGAAACTTATTTTGGTAGTCATTAAGCAAACGTTACTTTACGATGAAAGTCCTGCGGATGTTACAAACTATTTACGCCAAGCATTTTCACCGTGTAACTTTACCACGGTGACAAAGTGTTAATTGTGGAGATTGTCCCGAACGTGTTTTTCAAACGATTTAGACGTTTTTTTAAGAAAACTTGAGAGGTAGGCTAATAAAGGAGGAGGGAAATTAGCGCAACAGATTTTGGACAGTCATATGTTGGATTTTGGCCATTTCCTGGAAATGTGTGCAACATATTGATGGAAGAAAAATTAAAAAAGCAGGGATGAAAGGGGTTGAAAATCAGGAAAACATTACAGAAAAAACATTTTGGTGGTTTGTTTGCATCTACCTTGTCTCAAAGTCAAAATTATTTTATCATCTCTAGAAGTGATTTTCCTGGGGGTAATGCATTGGCCTAAAATATGCACCTGTTTAAATCGCGAGGAAATGGCCAAAATCCAACATACCAAAATCTGTTGCGCTAATTTCCCTCCTCCTTTGGTTATGAAATTGCTGTCACTTGACTTCATGTGGTCCGGAACCATTTCCATTGTTAAGACTTGAGCACCGTGTTTACGTCCAGCCTTAAAACACGGTTTATTTATACGTTAAGTATCCAATTAACATGAGATTTTGTGAAACACTTGTTTTAGATACTAATAGGTATAATGTTAAAATGTACGAAAATTAATTGTTAGTTGTCCAAACGTAAACAGCAACGAATCTTTCGTATACGTTCATTTCGTGTACTCATTTTCAAATGCCAATGCGTCATTATTACGTCAAGCTAAGTTTACACCAACTGCGCTTTGATGGCGCTTTAAAGCGGCGTGCGAAGCCGCTTTGCATGCCGCATTAAAGCGCCATCAAACCGCCGTTGTTGTGAACTTAGCTTTACTTCAGGAGTAGTTAAGGTGAGCCTGTATAACCTTTTGTGTTGTGTGCGATGCCGATACTGATGCCGGAAGTCGGCCATTTTGAATTCTGCCTGGGCAGGTTGATGACATCATCACAGGAAACGGAAGTCAGCCATTTTAGATGCGGTCTGGGTAAGTGGATGACATCACAGCGGAAGTCAACCATTTTAGATTTGGTCTGGGCAGGTTTAATTAAAGCGGAAGTTCAGTCATTTAACTTTGCCTGGGCAAGTTGATGACATCATTATTATAGCAGGAAACGTGAAAGTAGCCATATTGATGACATCATCAGTCTTGTCTGAGCAGGACAATGAAGCAACCCTACATGTCGAGTCCAGGCGGATTAACCCTAACCCTTATATATAATGACAAGTTGTAAATAACCCTAATTCTAAACTTATACTTTATTTGTTGATTAATCAAGGATAAACAATTTTTGCATAGTACCATCTCCATATATTGATGATAAAGAAGCATATTAGTCCAGACAATTTGTTAGAAAGATCTGCACAACCCGATATCAGTCGGAGAAATCTGACGATCTACGAAACTCACTTCAAAAAATCAAATGCGGACTGACGGCGTATTCTACTATGTTTGGATCTAAGATTTTCAGCATAGATAAAGTATTTTATGATCTTTCGAATGAGGTTAGTCTCTAGTTCGAAAGACAATCGTATCAACTTGAACAAAAGTTGAGTTTTGACGAAAATTTTTAACATGCGTAGAAGTCCCATTTTCGTTGTACCATATTGACTGCATTGTCTGTCACTCCTCCTTGAATAACTTGTCATATTTTTAGCAAGAAAAAGCCCAGATTACAAAACAAAGCCCGGATGTTAAATGATGTCATATTTTAGAAGTTTGTTTTTAGCTAAAAACAGAAATCATAGATTTCTTTTTTGCTTCCAGTAAATATGATGCGTGCAATATTAATTTGGATATATATTAAGATATTCATTTGCATCTAAATCATGATATCAATTGGCAAAAGACAGAGTTAGTTTTAGTTTAGTTTAAAATAGTTTATTTTCGTGTCACTGATATTACAATATACATATAAAATACAATAATAAAAACAACATTTTGTAACATCACCAGCCGGTGCCGACTTATGAGACACAGTATACATTATATCTGAGTGTCACCCATTACTACCCCAATAGGCAGCTTGTGTCAACATTCATAAAGACAGAGACATATAATGTCTCTGGTAAAAATGTATACATTAATAACCAATGATATAAATTCACAACTCTGATTAATCAGTTTGGCATAAATAAGCAGTTCATGGAATCATATTGTCAATCATTACATTAAATAAATATATTGCACCTAATGTGATATGGATATTGCATAATACATACATATATTGCACTAAATGAGAGTAGCATGTTGCATAGGGTCAAAAATTACAATAAATAGAAATATTGCACTAAATGTGAGATGCATATTGCATAATAAATACATATATTGCACTACATGTAAGAAGTATGTTGCATATGGTAAAGTAGAATTACTGCCCATTTTGATATGAATGAGCTGGTTCTAGACTTTTCTAAATCAAGTACAAGCTCAATGCTAGGATTTATGTTCTCAAAGCATGAATTCCGCGAAAATTCAATATTCTACAATATTTTGCAAAACTGAAAATTGTGCATTTTTTCTGTGATCCCAGTGAAATAGGGGGAGGTACTCCCATATATTGGCTATATGGGAACGTGCCGCTAAAGTTGGTCACTTTTTCGCCCAAAAAATTCCTAGATGTGGGTCCCATTTTGAAAAAAAACACCTAGATATGGGTCCCATTTTGATGAACAAAAATCCTAGAACTGGGTCTACTTTTTTAAAAATCCTAAAACTGGGTACTGTATTTTGAAAGAAATCGCCGGAAGTGGGTCTTGTTTTTCAAAAATTAGATTGAAGTGGGTCTATTCTTGAAAGAAAAACCCTAGATGTGGGTCCATTTTTGGAGAAATAAATCGCTAGATGTGGGAAGATATTTTGAGTCTCAGTCTCAAGTCCAAAGTTAGATTTGATATTCTACAGGGTGTCCCGAAAGTATGCCCCCCCCACTAGGCAGACATATTCCAATGTCCTCATAGTATGTGTCATATATAATCTTAAAGCTTATCCAAAGTTACATTGATTTGCCAATTAATAAGTATCATGGTTTAACTCCCAAATGGGAAAAAAGTTACAGTCATTTTAAAAGATAGTGTTTTGTCAAAATAAAGTCTTAAAATTTTACACCACATTACTAGTCAATGAGTCCCCCCTTGGCCATGTTCACAGCAGGAATCATTTTCAGATATGACCTTAAAAGCCCTTCAAATAGGGGTGTTTATTTTTATAACCCTCTTAAAACCTGTTAAGGAACTTTAGAAAAGTTTCCTTAGAGTTTCTACCCTCACCATTCTCTTTTTCCAACGCAATATCCATCCGACCCGAAAATAATTACTGCTGTTAAAATGGCCCGGGAGGACACATTGACTATTGATTTGGTGTAAAATTGAACTTAATTTTGACCAAACACTAAATTTTGAAATGCCTGTATTTTTTTCACATTTGAGAGTTGAACCATGATACTTGGCGAATCAATGTAACTTTGGATAAGCTTTAAAATGATATATGACACATACTATGATGACACTGGTAAATGTCTGCCTAGGGGGGGGGCATACTTTCGGGACACCCTGTAGAGTCAGTCTTAATAGAAAGTATTTGTTAAGTTATTGGAAGTTTTCAGAATTTCTTACATACGCCGGACACCTGAACCACCAACCGCCGTCACAAAAATGGAGACTATAACAATATGTCAACACTTTTAGTGATGACATTTTAAAGATAAATGAATGGTCCTTTTGGTATTGTAAAGGCAACACTTTTGCTTAAGACACGCACGGAATTGATTAGTACTGAACATAGTCCGATTATCCTCATGTGCCCAAATAGCTTATTTCCTGAGACGTATCCACGTAAACTAGCCTAGTGAACTTGATACTGTTATATTGTTATATATATATTGTTATTATTATATATATATAATATATTATATTATATATAATATATTATATTATATTATTATTATATTGTTATTCATTTCCTGAAGATTTTTAAATAAAGAAACATGTAGGGATAATTTCTCTGTCTTTATTTCGGATTATTTTATTATATATATTGTTTTATCCCATACTTGGACGTGTTATAGGTACATAAAGCCGGTTTGTAAAAACTTATATTTTCATCAGCGGGCAGATATAGCTTTACGTCCCGCTCCGAGCGGGCAGATATAGTATATCTGCCCGCTACGTCATAATCACCGCTCGCATATTTGTTCATAACAAACTTTGTAACTTTGTTTGTAACGTTCGCGTAATGACTGTAAACGACAATGGAGAAATACAGATAATCGGGATCTGTTTCATGGTTTAAAAAAGGGAAGGAGTATCCACTTAATCAATCAAAAGTTCGAGAAAGTAAATGTGGGAATATTTGAGGGAACAGGAAAATCCGCCCACGGCCAAGAAAACAAAACTGGACATGAATATTCTAAAATATTTCCACGATTGAACAATGTGTAGCGGATGACCAAGATTGGTATGGGATAAACATATTATCCTATAGTCGGTTCAGGATATTGGGATTATCCCTTGGCCAATATAATATATTTTCCCTCGGGACCTGCGGCCCTCGGGCAAATATATTATATTAGCCTCGGGATAATCCCAATATCCTGAACCTCATATAGGATAATCTCTATATATATCTGAACATATAGTACTAATTTTTGTTTTTGTCACTGATTGTCCCCTTTCCGATGGTCCCCTTTCCTTTGAGTCACAATTGATATTTTAGCTCAAATGCAACAACGCTCTAAATATTTTCCGTCATTTTGGGATGTTTCCCCTTCCTGATATTCATAAATGCTTCTTTGTACTTCATATTCAAGGAGTATTGGCTCCCAGGATCGAAACTCGATATTTTCCAACAATGAAAACGTCGAAATGTCGTTATTTCCTGAAATTAAAACCGACTATAAACACAAATTAAACAGTTCAAAAGATACAAACCAATATCTCGATCATTTCTTGTGAATTTTGGAAGTTTTCGTTCGGAAATAAGACCAATATTCACAATTCAAGTGTTATAGTGAACAAAATGGCTGTTGTTTGAATGGGAATTTTGTATCACGACATGCCTATATATTGGACAGAATATCGATATTGCACTCTCGGAGTCAATCCTCCTTGCTTCATAGTAATAAATGCGTCTTATTATGATACTTCGTATTCATAATGCGTCTTGTATGATACTAAATATTGATTCTAAATCTCAGTCCAAACGCTTTTAGCTGACCCAAATTAGTTTTCGGTTTAACTGCACGTTAAAACACATTATCAGTACATTCTAAACATTTAGTAGGTTTTATAACACCTAGTTCACACCAACGGCGAATGCGACGCTTTAAATCGGCGAGCAAAGCGCCGTCATTTTCGTGTACTTTTCCAAAAATATCACGATCTCCTAAGTAATGTTACGGTCTGATAAGCTCTGATTTCCCGACTTGTTACGATTACTCACGCTTTGATCCCGCTTCGACCAGGCTTTGTTACGCTTGAAATCACGCTTTGATAAGCTTTATTACGCTTTGATGCGATTATAACACTTTAAACCAGGCTCTGGTACGATTATCAACGCATTGAGAAATGTCGAGATTGCTGATTTCATGCCGCTTTTGATCCAATGACTATATAAAGATGAAGTAGATCCATAAAATCACTAATTCTTTGACTACAGAACACGATGGCAGATCAACAAGATCCAGAAGATCCAGATGGACCAGAGCATGATCTATCTGAAGAAGACTTGATGTATGTCGCCCTGCGTGAAGCGGCGTAAGAGAGCGTACTGAAGCTTGTCAAGCGTAACAAAGCCTAACAAAGCGTGTCAATCCTTGATCAAAGCATCTCAATTCGTTGGAAAGATTGAGAATCCTTCGAATGTGCAAGTATAAGACTTATGTTTGGTAATTTAGATATACTTTGATATTTGCTTAAAATATAAACTAATTATAAGAACCGCCAAGTTTTTTACTGACTGTCTCGAACTGTTATTCCAAGTAAAATATGAGAGAATTTTGCCTGTTGTTATCCAGTTGAATAAAATATTTGCTTTTTTCTTGTGTAAACAAATATATGATGGAATTATGATCGATTTTGTATTTGAAGTCTATAACGTCTATTTAAGATTTTTAGTTTCGTTTTGTATTTTGTTGTTTGATGTATTCAACGAGGTAATAAAACATCTTCAATTAATTTTGACATCGTATCAATCTATATTTGAATGTTTTTTATTTATGCATCTTAAAATAATTGTGCTTATAAGTTTATCAAATAAAAGTTCAAGGCTATTGGGGTATATGTACGCGACAGGAAGGAGATGGAGTTTGCCAGAGGTGTTTTGTTTTTAATACCCTTCTTTCTCGTGCTCTGTTTAGCGAAGAAAGATAGCGATGGCGGAACTCAGTCAAAAGGTAATATTTCTTAATACCTTCAGGCTAGGCTATTGGTCGCCGTAACCACGAGGTTGCGAGTTCGAGACGTGCGTGTTCCTTGTGTTTACTCATTTAATCGTTTCAAGCTTTATCGATACAAACAAATAGTAATTAAGATGATCTTTTACAATATGCTCACATCGAGAACGTTTAAACTTACGTGAAGATCGAGATATAACTTCTTGGCACACAAATTAAGATGCTTTTGTTAAGAAGGGCTTAATTAAATGTATTGTCAACATTTTGTCTTGATACACTGAATACTTGACATAGAACACGTTTGACACCGTGTCGAAAGTGTCGAAATAAATGGTCACAAATTAGTAATTTATATTCCCCGTGTAAATATCCATCTTCAAACGTATTATATTTGTATGATGCGACCTTCTAAAGAAATATTGTACTTATAAACGTGTATAACATTCATATTTGTCATAGTTATTCCAAGAACAATACCCACCAACCGTTTCATCAAACGTTTCAATATGAATTTCAATTTCCAGTCAGCAAAGGAACATCTGCAAAATCAGATAGCAAAGGTAAGAAAACATTTTAAATGAAATAAACAATGATAATTATGATCACAGAATAAAGTATATAAAAAAGTAGTTGGGTCAACCTTCAATTGGCCCTAAAAATCCAAATTGCTGACGTTCACAAAATGTTGATTTGACAATTACATGTGTACACAGTACGTTACATGTGTGTAGGAAATAGCTCAAAAGGGAAACAGTCAGGCTCGTCATCAGGCAGCAGTTCCAGTGGTCACCATCATCACCATTGGTACACGGGGCATAACGATGACGAACACCCGATACATTACTCATTGTTTCAACCATACCACAGAGGTAATCTTAAAAAACTGAAAATCGAAAAAAAATATCGCTTGTAAAGAGTTTATTTTTGCCAAAATTGCATTGTAAACTACATATTGCCTAACATATGGAATGAGTGTACATTTGGAGAACATTTTGTTCATAGCTTGTTTTACCGACGGACCATAGGAGAACATTTATATTTTAAGGGTATTGTCCTGGAGTAGTTGTCTGTACATTCGACGATGGTATTTGTGGCGACTATGAAGTGAGTTCAGATTGGAGAAGGGAATGTAATACAATTAATAATGTCACTGGTACGTCATTGTATAAAACACGAATATGCACTTCACTTTTTCATTTCGTTTATAATATGTTCATATATGTTTATATTTAAATTTATTCATAACATATTGAAAATTCCATTCTACAGGCAAAATAATTTTGAACTATTCGCTGGTACATGCATACTATTATATACAGGGTGTCCCGAAAGTATGCCCCCCCCCCCTAGGCAGACATACAGCAATGATCCCATAGTATGTGTCATATATCATTTTAAAGCTCATCAAAAGTTACATTGATTTGCCAAGTATCATCGTTCAACTTACGAATGGGAACAAGTTGCAGGCATTTCAAAACTTAGTGTTGGGCCAAAATGTAAGTTAAATTCAGTATCATTGAAACACCGCTTAACTGAATGTGACCAAAAATATGGGTGCTATCGTTAAAGAGAGGATGGATATTGAGTTGTAAAAAGAGGTCGGTAAGGCCAGATACACCAAGGAAACTCTTCTAAAATGCCTTAAAAAGGTTTTATGATAATTATTAAATGCCATACCCCTATTTGCAGTGTATTTAAGGTCATATCTGGAAAGAATTGCTGCTGTTAACATGGCCAAGGGAGACACAGCGACTATTAATTTTGTGTAAAACAAAACTTTAATTTTGGTAAAACACTACATTTTGAAATGTGTGTAACTTTTTCCCGTTTGTGAGTTGAACCATAATACTTGGCAAATCAATGTAACTTTGGACAAACTTTAAAATGATATATGATACATACTATGGGGACATTGGTGTATGTCTGCCTAGGGGGGGGGCATACTTTCGGGACACCCTTTATATCATTTATAAGCGACATTAAAATGGAGAAACATTTATGAATATCAAACCTTTTTTTCATAGAAACAATCACATGTTTTTAATTTATTTTAGATTGCCATATGGCGTATAAACCAACGAGTGTTTCGTCTAATTCGTTCGTCTTACCAACAATACACAACGTCCAATCAAATAAAATACTTTATGTGAATTTCCATTTTAAATCGCCAGAACCAAATGGTCTTAAACTATACAGCAGGGATGGAAACCAAACCAAAACTATACTATGGACAAACGATCATCCAAGTAAGAACCCGTAATGATAGCCATGCGTGGTTCCTAGTTTAGGCAAAATTCAAATTAGCTTGATAATCATTGCAATTGCAACATGCTTGTACTTACCTTTTCCCCACAGCCTAATGAAGACAATGTGACTATTCCTGACACGGACAAAGAGGAAATCCAACCCCCTCAAAATTTGACACCTTCTTGGATATTTAAATCAATGGTACCTTTTGAAAGCCTGTGCAAAAAAGCATTGTAAACGATTGAACTCATTCGGTTGTTTTTTGTTTATATCAAGACTAACAGCTTAACAATGCCTTGAGCTAGTTGGAAAAATTCAGGTCAATTACCCCCTCCCATCCCCGTACCTCCACAATGAGGGTAAAGCACCTATAGACATGTCAGGTACACCCTCTACTTAAGATAACAACCGGTTTTCTATAAATAGAAGTTTTTATTTGCATTGGCTGATCAACTTTGCTTTCCTCAGTCGTCGAGGAGAAACTACAGACGGTTAAGTTACCCTATGGGGCGTTTGACCTGGTGTTTGAAGGAGGTGGATCTCAAAGCGTTCAAGTAGACAATGTGGAGATTTACTGCAGTAAGTAGCTATAAATATTATAAATATTTACTCCCCGCCCAGATTATATACTCAGTTGCATGTCAGTAAATATTATTGAACATGTTTGAATGATATATGGTATTTGCTAACCTTGACATAATGATTCGTATTAAAATGCATGTCAATGATACAATTTACAATATCCAGACCTCTAGTTTTCTCATAACCTTGAAAACAAAATTTTAAAATCGGAGATTGGCATGTTTATTTTTACAAAATGGCATTTGCAAAACAAGAAACTTCTGAAAAACACACACTATGATGATGTTTGCTATCACTTTTGCATTTAGATGAAATGACCAAAAACTATTTTGCAAAAAAATCTACTCCTTATGAATATTTTGCAAGTTATTCATTTTTTCTCATTTATTCCTCTCATACGGCATAAATACGTCGTCGTTGATGAGTAATCAAAAATATATCTTTCGGATGTCAAACTTATTTAGGGGGGTTTACAGCTGTATGTTGTGGTTTACAGGTTATTGGACAGAATGGCGCAAAAGCGAATGTCCCGTCACTTGCGGAGGGGGTGTATATACGTTCACTCGCAAGTGTACATATGAAGGTCGAAACAAATTTCTAAATTGTCCTGGACCAAACATAATGTATGAAGAAGGATGTGGTTCCGACCCATGTCCAGGTAATGTACTATATGAATATTGAAAAATGGTTCAGAGAATTAAGCCCGTCCTATGCCAAATTGTATTCAGTTTTGAACAAAATACACATCAGCCCGGCGCCGGTTGGAGGTCTGACATTAGCGTCTTAGTTTGATTTTTCTCGGGAATTTTATAACCCCAATCTATATCAAAATTACATGTTATTCGAATCCTTCCCCAATTTTATGTTTTTCTTGGAAATATTTCTTATGCATGCACAGGGGCCAATTGGAAATGCTACAAAACAGAGCAAAAATTAAGCATTGAAGATAACAACCCTCAACTGTGATCTTACTTGTAAAAACGACGCCTATTAATCCCCAAATACAAAAGCAATTACCAATTGCACATTCAAATCTGTAATCATCGCTATGTTTTTATTGAAATATTGTAATATTATTGTAAAACGCTGCCATTTTGTCATTTTTAGTGCATGGGCACTGGGGTAAATGGGAAAACCCAAGTAGCTGTTCTGAGAGTTGTGGCGGGGGAACGAGGACACGTGCAAGAGTTTGCAACAATCCGTATCCCCAGCATGGAGGAATGGATTGCGTTGGCATTTCAGAGAATGTGTTTCCTTGTAACGATTTCCCATGTTCAGGTTTGTGATTTTAATCTTTGATACATATTTTCCAGTAAAGTTGTTGTCGTTGTTAAATATTTGTCTAAATACATCCATGTATACACTTCCCTCCATGGGTTTGGCAACCATAGGTCCCTTTTGGAACATTTATCAAAATCTGTTTATGTTTGACGATTTCAAGCCTCCAGTTACCAAACTTATGGAAAGGACTGTTATGATACATTACCACATATTTTGGTTATTTAAGCATTCGATGCGCACCCTGGTGGTGTTCATGAGATATTTAGTGAAATACAGAGAGCGCTTTTGGCTGATTCTGGTAGGGACATTGAATTATTTGACAACACGTACAAAGACCTTCTTGACACTGCATCCATAAAATGTAACGACGGAGAGATAAAGTTTTGCCACACCAGAGATCTATTGGCGGTAGTAGCAATGTTTCGTGTTGCGAAACAAAAAACTCAGGCAGATATAAGATACGTCACCGCATCTGATTTTCAATCAATTGGACTCCAAGCGTACATGTCAGAGTTGAAGCAGCGTTACCTCAGGCATCAACAGTTGTTTGATGTTTATAGAGGCATGAATATTGAAATGAATCAGACTACGTGGGAATTTACTCGTCTGAGCACATATTTTCGAACCTTGGCAGACTATGAGAGATCTATAAATGAAAAAGACAAGAACCGATTGAGCACTGCATTAGATACCTTACGAAATAGTATAGATGGACTAAAAACTAGCACACAAACACTTTTAACTGCAGTTCAAGGTACACTGACTGGATTTGCAATGGCAGGTACAGCTGGCCTTACAGCTTTTGATTTAATATTGAAGGCGGATTGCTTACCTCGACTGGGACTTCCAGATTTCCCTGTGCCCGTTGGTGGACTTCCAGCCTCAGACCCTTGTACCAAAGACATCGATCGGACGATAAAGAGAATCAGGGAACAATCCAACAAAAATAAAGACAAAATTTCAAAACTTGGAAGTGCTGTCTCGCCGTTTATAAACGAGGTTGGCGACCTCGCAACCCTACTTAATGACAACAAAGATCAAATCGATGAGATGAAAGCCTTAGTCGAAGCATACACTGCAGCCGATAACACCATTTCATACGCTGATATTCTCTGGAAGCACCATCCACCCTACAGTCCATTTCCTGATCTAAATTCTTCAATCGTTGACAATCTGAAACAAGACTTTGTTGACAAATATGGAACCTACGAACCCAAGGTAAGTAGGTCCTTAAACGACATACTTAACATGTTCTTGTTAATGATGAAGACGAGTAATTCTTTTTTATATAAGTGGGGCCAAAAACGCCACTTTTTTCAAGACACTATAACTTTTTTATTTTCAAACCTACATACACCAAATTTTGCAGTTATATAGTACCAGGGCTCTAGATAATAACATAAGTAACGGGTCCTTCAACTTGGATTATATGTATTAATTTGGTATGAAAATTATGATTTGGCATATATTATACCTATATTGAACTAATCTCAGCTCAGGTTCTCATTATACCCTCACTCTCTAACTCTATCTCCGAGGTCAACTGAATTCTACTAACTGCCTGTGACTTTTACTCTACTAATTAATGTTACTATTTCAGACTTACTTGTAAATCGGCTCAATATTTAAACTAACTTATACTATTTATGATAAATCTGTTTACATCACATTACCATATGTATGTCCTTACTGTTATTTTCTCATCTGGGAATTCAAATTAGGTCCATTTACATTCACAAATGTCCCATTGCACACTTGTATAAAACATGATCGTATTTTTTGCTCTAAAGCCATGAATTCTTGCCGCATACATCAGCTTATTTTCCGGCAATTTGTGCTGTTGAACAGTTTTCATTGCCTGTGTCTTGTATTGATCAACTTTTCAGATTCAGTGACTTATATTAGGACATATCAATTATTTGAAAAATTTAAAACGTTCGAGAAGCAGTCGATATATTAAACAGTCGTATGGGATAAAATCAAACGAGGTAGGGTAGAGTATAATGTTGTGATAAGAATCCAGATTTCATTATTATACCAACGAACGAAGTTCGATAGGGATATAGTTAAGCCCTCCGTCCGTCCGTCTGTCCGAAAGAAAACTCGTTTAGCTTTATAATGCTAAAATGAAAGACAAGTTTGAGAAAATTGCAAATGTTGCATAGTTTTTTTTTATCTTAGCCTTATAAAATTCAAAATGGCCGCCTTTTGTGGGATTTCGAAATAATTTTCTGATCTTTTCAAAGTATAGCTTTATTATACCCAAATTGAAGAAACTTTAGGGTAGATCACAATAATGGTATTGATTTTCTGATTTGTTCTTCAGAAAATTCAAAATGGCTGCCAACAGAAAATTGTGTTAATTTGAGATCTTTCTGAAATATAGCTTTTAAATTATTATACCCAAATGAAAGGTAATTTAGATTAGAATGCAAATATTGTATTGTTTTTCTGATTTGAGCCTCGTGAAATTCAAAATGTCTGCCTTATGCTGGATTTCCCAATCATTTTCTGATTCCTTCAAAATATGGCTATATTATACTCAAATTGAAGGAAATATAGGTCAGATCACAACTATTGTATTGTTTTTCTAAGATGTCTCAGAAAATTCCAAATTGCTGCCAAGCAGGAATTCACTGTTACTTAGATATTTGAAGTATGGTCATTTGAAGTATGGTTACATGATACTTTATTAGATCTAAAATATATTGTCTTTATTATTTGTGCAAATACAGATTCATATATGTTATAGTGTTCGTTGGAATTTGCTACTCTATCTGTGGAGTTGCCGTTTTCTAATATAGATGATGATTTGCTTTCAAGGTTGTTGGTGCACAGATCGCAGCAGTGACCGTTAAACTGAAAGACACTGCCAGTAAGATGTGTGAGCTTTTCTCTACTGGGCAAGTGATAGCTGAAAGTATAACAGCAAGCAAATCTGGGTTGAGACGTTGGGCTGAAACAGACTGCCCTGACATGCTCGCAAATATAACAGAACTTGACCAAGCTTTAACGACCATTTTAGATTTCCAAGAAAGAAAGATGGAGGTTATGTCAAGAATTGTGAGATCGCACTTAGCGGATGTCTATGGCTCATTTATAGGTACATCAGCAACACAAATAAACCTCTATCCAGTGACTGTGCTAATAGCCTTGGATTCCGCGAGAATGCAAAGAGCTGCAGTATATCTTTGTAATGCAATTGAGTTTAAAAACGGAGGGGCCAGACCAGATATATGCAGAAATTACCACTTTACTATGGATGAGATTGATCGACTGATATCAATGGTAATTAGGGAAGAAGAAGAAACTGTGTACAGAGCGTATATCCCTACAACTCCTAATGGTCTATATACTAGTATCGATAGTTATATAAACCTAAACAAGTTACTTAAAGGAGAGACCATTTTATTCCGTTTGCCCAAAGATCCTGATTGGTTGATGCACTACAGATGGATTGATAACCCGGATGACCTTAATGACGCAATGTACATTGATTCATTTCAAATTGTCTTTCCATATATGGAATGTCAACACGAACACTTATTCATTGTGAAGGTTGACATTGAAACGGTAAAAACTGTAACTCTTTATCCGACATCCGATTCTCCCTGTTTCCAAATATCTCCTGAAAGTTACAGCTTTGCTTATGAGGGTAATTATGGATGGTGTCCAGCAGATCAGAAGATGACATACCCGGATGTCTGCGTCCGTTCTGGTGGAATTCTTGGTACAAATGATGGCGGACATGGAAAATTTGTTCTTCCTACATCCTATTATTCGGACTTTCACATTACACTGAATTATGACAATGTTCGTGATAAGTTTGATGGACACGAAGGGCATCACTCTGAGTTTAGACCAGACTATTGTAGGGATGGCAGATGTGATGGTGGGCGATTTGACAGATTTCCTGACCAAAACGGTAACGATTACAATACACGTTTGCATAATGCTGAAAACACAGAGAAAAGATACAGTTCGTATTTTGATGAGTACGACCATTGGAACCATGGCATTCACGCAAAATCACAGCATCATCATCATGGATCGAAATCACATCAAAATTCTGAGTCAAAGAGTGACGGTGACGATAGGACTCCTGAAGCTAGTGGTAAAGTAGACCCAGAAAATAATAAGGAGCACGATTGGAATTTCGGATACTACAATGATTATGTTAAATGGAATGAACCGTGGGTGCACAGTCACCATAGCTCCCATTCACACGGTGGTCACCACCACAAATCGGGCAGTGGACATGGAAGTGCTTCTGAGAGTGGTCACAAGGGAAGTTCAAAAGCCGAGACATTCGCACTACATGATAGTCACGATGTACATTCTGATCACAGCCATAAAAGTAACCCTGGGCACTCTAAACACTCGCATAGTTCTAGTTCACATCACCACCACCATAGCGAGCATTCCTCTCATGAAGAACACCACAATGACCCCAATTACGAAAAATCATACAGATTGCCTAGATATCACTATGACTACGATATATATGAAAAATATGGGCACTTAGACCATTATTTTCATCAGGAAGATCACGAGCATAAAGGAAATTATGGTGACTATTATGGAGACACGAGAAATGGTGAGAATGGTTACTATGCAGGACATGAAGATGGTAGAGGCCAGAATAACCACGACGTAAGATACTTTTACAATGATGATGAAAGGATAAAATACGGGAATGATATTCCAAGAAAGGATTCTCATCATCATTCTGAACATTACTACTGGCACCCGAAACACACTAGCCATAGTTCGAGTGGATCAATAGATGGCAGTAATAGCAGAGTTGACAAGGAAAGCGGAAGTAAGAGCAGCAAAAAAACGCTACGTAATATTGGAAAAAGAAGCGCCAAAAATGCAAAGAGCGGAAAGTCCAAAGCAAGGAAAAAGTCAAAGGAATCTAAGGGATCCAGCCACCATTCTAAGGAAAAGAACAACAAAATACGTCATCCCTATGACGACTATGGCTATTTCAGACCCGACTTTAATCACTACGACATGTACAAATACAGACACTACCATGGCTTCCATTCTTGTAAAGATAAGATACTTTACGAGTATCGTTACAACCACGTTCACCAAGTACCTGTATTGATTAAAAGAACCAAGTACAAGAAAATGGGTACGTAAACTAGACCTACGGTTTAAACATTTGAAAATATAATTTGACTAAAATTTAACTTTTGGTATTTGACATTAATGTGAAGCATGTTTGTTAATCTACAGTTCATGAATTTTGCAAACATAATTAAACTTAAAGTAAACATAAATTTTGAAATAAGAAACTGTTTTTTTTTGACAATAATGTGTAGTATGTTGCTATCAATAATGGGCTCGTCAAAAAGTTGTCAACAGTAACGATACGAACGAATTTCAAAATAGTCTATAAAATATAAATAAATGTAAATGTACCATTCACCATTGGGACAGAATATAGTGATTGATCTTTTTAAACAGATGAAGTTGTAAACTGTTGGCCGAATCCATGTAGAAATGGTGGTGTATGTACGGAAGATGCAAACGGACCTCACACTTATTCATGCAGTTGTCCTTCGGGATTCTATGGCAATCGATGCGAACAAGGTATGGAAACTTTCTATATTTTTCGAATTACATTCAAGCAAAGTGTGATATGTGCAATTTGTCATTTCTGTTTTATTGTATCAGATATCCATAACTATATATCCTCATTAATTGTAATAGAAACGCCATCTTTTGTTTTTGGTCGATGCTATTTATTTCCTTATTGATTATAAACAGCAAATGTATTTATAGAGAATGGAACTACTGTGGAATGGAAACAAATAGGCGTCTGCTCTCGAACATGTGACGGAGGGATACAACTCTATGAGAAGGTGTGCTACGGCCCGGATGACAAAGAGTTCAACTGTATAAAACCACGAACAAAAACAGACTTTTGCAACACTCATCAATGTCGTAAGCAAAAGCCGTTTTCCTACACAAACTTACAGCCGAGCAGCCAAACCAATAATGACGTCACCATATATTTATGTGCATTAGTGATTAAAATAAGAGAATGAAATGTTGAGAATCTCCCACTTCCAGAATATTTTTTATATTCCTCTAAAACTAGACAAGTGTTGCTCTTTATAAACAGTAACGTTTTCAGGCTAATACCAAATCACCGCGACAATGGATTTCTGGGTTTTGCTATTCAAATGTTACAACATTGAAAGGATCATTCGATTTCTTGTATTCGTAGAACGCCTACTACTACAGGGTGGGCCAAAAAACGCCACTTTTTTCAAAATGCTATAACTTTTTTTAATTTTTGATACAAAATCAAATGAAACTTGAGGTTGTTATCTAGCCATGGATCATGAATACACTTTTACTAGAATAAAATATGTCACCAGCGTCTCACTTAAACATGTGGCGTTCCATGAGAAATAAGCATGATTTGCAAAATGTTCTTAACTGATACGCCCTGATGACCGCCAAGCTAATAGCCCTGATGCAAACCCAAGTGAGTATAGGGTATGGGGAGGTCTCCAGGAGATGGTATGAAGGCACCCAATCTAAAAAATTGCTCAACTAAAGTTGGCAATTAAGACACGTTGAAAAAATATAGCTAACATTTCATTGATACTGCCAAATCAGCAAGGCGACTAAAACTAAAATCTATCATCAAATAGGGTTGCGGACCAATTGAACTCCTCTTTTAGATCAAATACAATCCCAGTTGAAGGACTTGTTACATTATATTCTTACTAAGAACCCTTGGCACTATATAACTGCAAAATTTGGGGTATGTAGGTTGCAAAATAAAAAAGTAATAGTGTCTTGAAAAAAAAGTGGCATTTTTTTGGCCCACCCTGTATATATTCATTTCTATTTTCCCTTTCGCAGCAAAACCATGCCACGAGCTTGTCATACCTGATAATGGTCAACGACTTGATGACGGCTGTACCGCCCCTGGTTGCATTGCTAAGTTCAGTTGCAATGAAGGATACATGCTACAGGGCAGTGCGCAAAGAGAATGCCTCTATAGTGGAATATGGACGGGCTTCCATACCTACTGCATTGATGCAAGTAATGAGCACATCCTTTCCAAATAGTTTTTTGCAAGGCTTTTCCCTTTACTGGTCTGCTCTTTGGTAAACTTATCTCTTTATAGTAAATGGTAATGAGTTTGTGTGTTAAATCAAGTTCTTGCTTCCTTTACTCTCTTATCTTACTATTATAGAGCATCCTATTTGTCCTGTGCTATACAAACCTGATGGTGGACACATGACGATATTGCATCAACATTTCGGAGCTCACGTTCACTTCGGATGTGGTCCATTTGCAACCCTGAGTGGTAGTGTTACCAGAAAATGCTTACACGATGGCCATTGGACAGGACATGAAGCTGTATGCACGCGTAAGTTGTTAGGATACCTTTATTGACTTTTTTCTTTCATCTATTTTAACAATAACATGACATAAAAATAACTTATTATGTAAAAATTTAATAACATTCCATTGGATTTCACTCAAAATTGCCGTCAATGTCACTAGATTTTGGCAATTGTTTAAGTTTGTACATCTGTATTTTATGGAATATAATAAAGATGATTAATAAAAAAAGGATACCTTTTTGTTTCTCTAACAAAACATATGCCTAAGACATTAATGTAACTGCTCTTTGCATACTCGGAAATTTTATTCTTGTCCACCTTGCCTCCTTGACCATATGTGTAACCTTACAGAGAATTGGTTTATGTCTTAAACATGTAAGGCTGGTATAATTTGTTGCCATCTTCCCTACATGCTGCAGTTACATTAATGTATTAAAATATTAATTCTACATATACAGGGTGGTCAAAAAAAATGGAAACCCGTACACCATTTCCCTCATAAATTTGTCATTTTAAGAAATAACTCCCTGTTATTTTGCACATTTGTACATCATTCAATTTTCTACCAGCCTACTTTATTTCATGACCATCAGATTGATAGTAACAATGTTACGGCACTTTACAGAACGTGTCCTAGTGGCCACTATTGCACTCTCGGGCCACCTGCACTTGTCATCCAAAATGTCTCTACCTGTAGGGATATGGCAAGGAAAAAGTGTATGCGAATTACCTCAGGACAATCACAAACCTCAAAAGTGAGATCATCCGTATCATTCAGGCCATACCTGCTGAGGAATGCATTCGGCCCATTGACAACTGTGCAGGTTTGATTACAGCGTGATGATGGCCAAAATTAAAGCATGTTATATCAAAGTGCTGTAAAATTGTGACTATCAGTCTGATGGTCATGAAATTTGGAAGGGTGGTAGGAAATTGAATGATGTACATATGTGTGAAATATTAAGGAGTAGATTCTTAAAATGACAAAGATATTAGGAAAATGCAGGGTTTCCATTTTTTTGACCACCCATACACCACTTTATATGTCACTGTATTTGTATGTACAAGTCTGACTATTTTTAGCTGATATTGTTGACGATGTTTGGCTTGATTGTAATGACACAACTGAGTGTCATGAAATTGAACCATGTGGGTACAGAGAACTAATATGGAAGAGCGAAGACTGTTATGACTCGGTGTCCAGTGAAAGTTCAAAATCCAGCAAAGAAAGCAAAAGTACTAAAAGCAGTGGTGGAAAATCAACGAGCGAGGGAAGTAAAGGCACATCAGCGGAAAGTAAGGGCACTTCAACTGAGAGTAAAGAGGATTCAGCGGAGAGCAAAGAGGCTAAGGGTGTTGAATCATCACAAACGAGTAAGGAGTCAAAGGGACGAAGGAGGCGTAGGAGCAACGGGAAGACACTAGAAGACTCAAAGGAAGCCAAAGAAAGCAAATCAAGTGAAAACAATGGAGGTGAAGCGAGCAAGAGTAGTAAAACCAGTAAGAGTAGTAAAGCTAGCAAGGATAGTAAAGCAAGCAAGAGTAGTAAGAGCAGCAGCCATGGTAGCCACAGTCTTCCCGACCAGAGAAGGAAATTCTGTCGTCGGAGTGAGTATTAAGTTCTCTACAGCGATACGATATGTTAATGTAATTTGTTGTACATTGTGCTTTTCTGTTTTTTAAAGAGCTCTTCGAGCAATCCGATTGATCGAACGTTAGGTTAGTATTGTAGCATATTCTTAAACTTGTCATCTAACAAATTGTGCGGGAGGTCAAATAAAATCCCAGTTCAGTATATCATGTTTTCTTTGTTTTCTCCATAAGTCCTACATCTACTTATGCATATAACAATTGGATATCTTGAACTTTAACTTAACATAATTTGGCTTACAACCCCAAATATCATTTCATGTGATTCCTCTACAATCACGATTACACGTTCCCTCCATAATTTTAGACATTCCAAGGCAATATGTCTGTCGGCCAGAAGTGTGTCCAGATGGCTGGAGTGAATTAGCCACCGAATTCAACTGGAGATGTCCATCTGGAGTCCAAATATTCTGCCAAAAGGATTTGGCTAGGTGTAACTTCAACTGTACAAGGGGTGTAGGCGAACGACATTGTCATATGCACGACAGCAGCAGTAGTAGTAGCAAAAGTAGCAAAAGCGCAAGTAGTAAGAGTACTGAAAGTAAAGACAGTGCAAGTGTAGAAGGCAAATCCGATCAAAGTGGTGCTGATACTGATGACGATAACAGCAAAGCTAGCGAGGAATCAGACGGTGATGGTAGTAAAGGTGGACAAATAAACAGCCAAGAGGTCGATACACCCGATGGTGAACGGAAAGGTAAGCATTTATATTATACTTGGAGGTGTAGAAATCCAAAGAAACCGTGTCTATGTGCCTCTGGTATCACAATCTCGTACTAGAAATTATGCGAAAACTGCATGTACGATTATTGAGGAAATCAACGGAGAAATCGGTTTAAATGAAGAAAAAATAACTGGTCATATTAATACATCGTTTTTTGTATTACGGTACTTCACATTGTATTATAGGCATTGTTTTTCACGATACCAATATCATATTTTATGAGATACATAATTCCAGTACAATAAAATAATTCCGATGTAATTTGATAATTGTAGTTGATGGTGGATGGAGTGTAACACAATGGTCGAGATGTTCTGTGACCTGTGGTTCCGGGTCAGAGTTGGGATCACGTGACTGTAATTCTCCGAAACCTGCAGGCGGTGGGGCCCTTTGCGACGGTCCTACAATAATAACAAGGACTTGCGACGCGGGGGCTTGTGGGGGAAGAGGTATGGTATGCACCATTAACAACAATATGCACTGTGTCCCCACGTTGAGTTGTTTTGTGCAATCACGCCAAGTTAGGGCTGTCAGGATATCGCATGGAACTCATATTTTACGTTAACGATTTAATACATGCTTTTTATCTTTTTAGAGTTCGGACTCCGAAATTCCGGAAGAAGTAACGTGAGTATGCCGAATAATCCCGGACTAAGATAACACATATAACATTATTTTTTGATTCGTCCATGAATCTCGATTTTTACGAATATATTCATTTTGCTATTTGTCAATAACATTATTATTTTCTCATTTTATTCTCGCTTATACCATTAGATAACACCTTTGTGGCATTGATCACGCATGTCATTTTAATTTCAGTTAAATACTAGCAAGTGGATGTTCATTACTGGGTATCTGTTGGTGTTATACCTAGGCTATATAGTGACATACATATGATCCATGAAGGACCACAAGTGACAATCTAATCATCTCTCCGACTTATCATACGCTAGTGATCAAAACCGTTGCATATAGTTATGTAATTATCTACCCAAGAGGATTTATGAAATTATGGGATTTCAAGCGACTTGAAACCCCATGTTAAGTTGTAATTACTTTTAATTTAATCATATAATCTGATTTTATTTGTAACTCTACCGTGTTAAGCCACATGGCGAACGCCCTATTTCGAGAAATAGAGAAACACACTTTGCAGCTTATGCCATCTATATTTTTATGTCTTAGACATTTCCTTGTCGTCCTTACACCACGTCAACTTAATTGAAGCCACCTCAACCCTAAGTCTGGTTAAGTCAAACTTTGGCCATATATCCTATTCCAATTTCACCAGTTTGGTTCTAACTAGACGGTGTTTTTGGCTTGGCTTTGTTGCTGATTTGTCTAAAATACATAAGGATGTATGCGACGTTTAAAAGGATATAACGTGACATTAGATAAACTCTGTGATTTATCACATCTTTCCTGATCGAAAATCGCTTAGTAATAAAAAATGATGAAATATGGTATAAGATGATTAACAGCCCGGTAAGAAATAACAACTAGATTTCGATTTGATATACTGATTTGACGTCAGTATTTAGCACCACGGCGTAACATTTAACCCCTCGAAACCCAATAGTACATATAAATGTAAATACTCAAGAAAATAGTAAATGAAGCATGACAATTAGATTAATCTAATAATAATTCAGATTTATTCTACTTTTTAGATACCATATTTGAAATGCACTTTGTAAGTACTAATTTGGTGAGATTAACTCAAAGTTGGTGTAATGGGGTTAAATGGTATAACAAATTCCAATCTAAAGGGCTTTTACTGTGACGTCGACACATAAAAGAAGTTGTCAATATTAGAAAATGAACAATGTAATATATTATTTTCTAATATGACTAACATACGACGAAATCACCAGCATATAGACTGACTCAATTCATACTGAAGTAATGACCAGTTTCTTAGCTATGACGTCATGCCTGTACCTTTATTACAAATAGAAACATTTCTACACACTTATAACCATTGCAATCAAAAGTTACATTAATCCAAAATTGAGCCGTTGGAGTTTTTTTACAATATATCAGTTTTTCAGATTATTCGACACATCCATGAAAGGTTATAATAGATTTCGCGATGCACTTGTAGCGTGTTTGTAAACCCCTTATGTTTATAACTTATAAAGCGTTTGTACTACGTCATGATTGTTGCTCAACCTTTTTCAATTCATAAGGAGTCATCACATTATTTATAACTAAATATTTTTCTCGTTTAGGCATAGTTATTGAAAGGGAATCATGGCGATACTTGTTATGAAGATATATTACTATCCAATCCAACTTATAAACGAGGAATTTGGAGAAAAAATAATTAGTTCTTGTTGAAATTCACATTAGAATCGATCGATGAAATATTTATTTCTATACGTATAACTACGTATATTTTGCAGAATGGCAACTTTCTGAATACTTTATAGCTAAGTATGCATAAACATAAGTTGTGCTTTCACTTATGAGCGAAATTTCTCTATTAGTAAGCTTAGAACTCTTAGGCATACACAAAGGGCAGACCAATTTAACAAGTAATTTTACAGAAATCTATTGATGCAATGTTTCATGATTGGTTCTTGCAGGGTCGTATTGAACGTGTTTGAAAATGGTGTGTGTGTACTTTCTAATTATCTAAAAAATATCGAGAAAATTATCTAATATCGTTTAGAATGAAGATTGATAGACTTGCATTTTGGATTGACATTTTTGGCACTAAATGCGTAATTGGTAAAGCTTAGCTGGAACGTGACTAACCATGTATTCATGGTTCTCGATATCTACCCTCAAGGGAATAAATGATTAATAAAACTTAGCGCGGATTCTCGGATATGTCCTGCCAGAGTGTTTGGTTTGCACATCAGTAAAATATTACATTTGAGCAGATCAGAGCGGATCTGTCCAATTTTTTGTTTAACGCTTTAATGAAAACGTATGTATCAGGCGGGAGTGAAAATATTCTATACGCAGTTGTCTGGCACGACTAGCGGGGACAACATCCGATTTGAATTTATTTGTTTGCGCAATACGGTCGATACAACATCCGTATTCAGTTTATTTTATTTGAGTATTTTTTACAAAAGGCAGGGGGATAATTAGTGTTTCTTTATAATTTGCGTTTGACATTCCATGGCAATATTTCAGTTTAATCAAGCTAGACAGCATTCATCATTTTGGAGACTGTACCTGCAAACAATTGGTGTGGATTTATGTTTAACATGTGCATGCATGTCTAATGATCTCTGAACTTCAAAAGCTTTTTTCTATGTGAGTTATTTTTTTCTTGGTTCAATATTTAACCCCCCTATCACACCAAACTAGTTCTTACCCGTTCTTGCCAGTCCTACGAAAACGTCGTAAAACTGGCTCAATCTGGCTGTGGTCGGGAAATATGTCTAAAATAATTAGCTACTTCGTTCATAAACAGTCTTCAATACGTCCATCTTATTCGCAGTTCGTTAGTCTAGAAGGTCATCATGACCTGATTACAGAACGGTATGGTCGCCATCGAATTTTGAATCATTTCAAACTTTTAAAATCACCTTCCCGTCTGAAAACGTTCATGAAGTTCTTAAATAGACCTTAGAAAGTTGCAGTTACGTTCATTCCGTTCGCACACAGTTTAAAACCAGTTTTGAAGAACGCAGTGACAACTTGTTTGGTGTGATAGCTATATTTTGCCAACTCGTTCATAAGCAGTATTTAATACGTTCTTAGTCAGTTTAAACCCGTTTGCAATTAGTTCTACCTCGTTCTCAATACGTCCTGAAGTACGACGGTTCCGTTCGTAGTACGTCCAGCTCGTCGTTAGTACGTTGTCACTCGTTCTTATTGTAGAACGTGACAACCACGAGAACATTTTGAGCAAATTCTAAGTTCTAGAGGACCTACCCGTTCGAGTACGTTCGATGAAGTTTGTAAATAGACCCCAAACGGTTCTAAGTACGTCCAGTCCGTTCGTACACAGTTGAAGCCCGTTTTCGAGAACGTAGTGAGAACTAGTTTGGTGTGATAGTAGGTTAAGCAAATCAAACTTTGTGTCATATTTGAGCGAGTGTGTGAGTAACATGTTTAAATGATTTTTTTTTTTCTTCTAATGGTATAGTATTAGTTGTCGAGTTGGCTGAGAGGGCTTAGGCGCCAGCACGTTCAGGCTAGGCGATTGGGCGCCGTAACTACGAGGTTGCGAGTTCGAGACGCGGTGTGCTCCGTGCGTTTATTCATTTAGTAAAATATTCCATACTCGAATTATTGTAGGTGAGCGCTTCATATACAATGTATACCAGCATACCTTTTATTAACCTTTCTGGATTTTACTAATGCTGCTTCAGCAGGTAAATTATCGGATTCCCTATAGACTTATTTTAATTTAGATACCTTTTTGGAGTAGGCAACAAATATTCATTTGTTTGTGCTTCTTAATTCGTGCATGAAGCATTCCAGGTTTTATTTGGAATCCCAGGGGAAGAGTCCATCATGATTACAGAATGATATATTATGTTCGTTCGTAGGCAATTGCGCCTCAGAATTAACGATTGAAATCGTATTTTATCCACGATATTTCAATCGCGTTTGAAGGTCGTTTATTTGAAAATAAATAGGGTACACGGTTAAATAAGATAATTACTTTAGGAATGACAGATTATGTGAATACGTTTACAATTGTCCAATGGCTCCGTAAATTGGCTAATAATACGATATGCTAACTGACCAATCGAGAATATAGGGCATTATATTTGTCTTTATGATTACTCATATTATGATGAACGATAACATACTCGACTTTTATAGTCACAACTGCAATAACAGATATGAATTGCAATTCGAAATAACAAAGAGACAACCGATCAATAAAATATATTTCTTATATTAGTCTATACATTTTGTGTTAAGTCTGACGTGGAGATCCTGTACAAATATAATATCGGAAAATATCACGAAGTTAAATTAAAGTCATATTCTTAAATTACATGAAGTTCTGAATTTCTGCGCACTTAATACTTAATTTTGAATCTTTATGAGTGGATGTATGATTCTTAAGTGAATATTCGGAGTTAATATTACTTTCCATACATGACCATATCTAAGACTTAATACTTAGTAGGATATTTCAAAAAGCGTTTTGTGTTTACAATTCAAAGCATTGGTTACAATTGAATACAATGACAATTAGAGAAGTTTGGCTACAATATATCGACAATCTGGAGGAGTTTAGTAAAATACATCCTCAATAGAGAGGAGTGTGGTTACAATTAATTGACAATCGGAGAAGTCTAGTTTCAGTACGTTGACAATCGGGAGAAATTTGGTTACAATATATTGACAATCGGAAAAGTTTGGTTGCAATATATTGACAATCTGGAGGAGTTTAGTTATAATTCATGAACAATCTGGACAAATTGGTTACAATACATTGACAATTGAGGAGGTTTAGTTTAAAATTCATTGACTATCGGAATAAGTCTGGATACAATACATTGAAAATCGGGAGAAGTTGTCATATATCATATATCTTATAGGACTGATTGTAAGCAGAGGTGGTGTCCAGTAAAGGTAATTCATTTCAATTTCATATATTTCACTTTTTTCTATTTTCATGATGGCATCGAAATATTTTATTCCACGGCGCCTTTATATATTGTAATCACCTGAATATCAACAGGCTAGGTTTCATTAGAAAAATCAGTCGGACCTCGGATTTCAAATTCCATTGCAGATATAAAATTGTTTGAATATATGAATGCACAATCGATTGAAGGTTCTTTGAATCCTTTTGTTTTTCTCTATCCCTTTGTGCATTCATGCCTCATTGTTTGAATATATGAATGCACAATCGATTGAAGGTTCTTTGAATCCTTTTGTTTTTTCTCTATCCCTTTGTGCATTATTGATTTCACCTGTTGCGCTATCGTTTTAATTCTTAAATGTATCTCCGAAAGTATGTAACATTACTGGATCTTGAGCTTTATATAATATGATATGTATATCACACGTCAAAACCTCTCTATTATGCGACTTCGATTGAAATAAAAAAAGTAAAATTTCGTCATATTTTGAAAAATTGGAATGCTTCGAAATCACAATCAATAAGAAATATACATGACATAGAGGGATTGTTCCCTTCGAGTATTCAACCCAATGGTACAATCCATCGCTGTATCAGTA